TCCTAACTGAACTCCTCCTGCACAAATACACTGTATTTATTTTTTCATAATTATTATTTACAACCATTTGCTGAATGCAGGGTGAACAGTTACAAACACAGTGCATACTTCAGCAGTGACTCACCTCAAATTTGATTTATTCTGGTTTCTTGACAGCCTTATGTGGTTGATGTGATAGCTTTTGGATTTGGAGCAAAATGTCTTTAGCTGGAAGTTCATGATGCCAGATTTCATCCCAAAGCACAGGTGCTCAGTAAATCTGGGAAAGTCTGAGTGGTGTGAAATGTGTGTGTAGTGGGGATGTGTTGTTAAAAAAAATTGTTATGGTCTGAAGGCAATTGTATTTTTCACTCTCAAGTAGCAGAATTGTTCAATATAATGTCCAGAACAATATTCAGGTGAAACTATCAGTGAACTGTATTTCATTGGAAGATTGTGAAATACTGCTGCAAGGCAATAGGAACCAGTTGGACAAGTTTTTGTCAGGAGTTGTTTTTGTAGTTCACCCTTCCTTTAGGCAAAGTGGTGCACTAGAAAACTCTGTTCCTTCCCACTGCCTGAGAGGGTTTATTAAGCAGAAGATGAAAGTGGAATAGCTCTTTATGCTCATTCAGTGGCAGCCATGTGTCTGCTGGTGTGTTTGACCTGTAGTCATCCAGGCTGCAGATTCAGTGCAGTTTCCAGGACTATCCATAAAAATCTCCTATAATATTATTGCTGGGGGGGTTGGAATACACAGACTTTAATTCTGCAATCCCACTGGATTGCCTGCATGAGCAATGTGATAAACTTCCTCAGCATTGTCCTGGCAGAAACAAGTCCTAAAGAAGATTATGTTAATGCTTGATTGAAAAAGCAGATTACATGTTAGATGGTAAAAATCATCCAGAGAGTATATGCACATGAATTTGCAGAATCTTATGAACAGCCTAATACAATTACAGGCTAGAAATGAGATCCAAAGGAGGAAAGTGTTTCTCACAGCAATTGTTTTATCAGCATCTATTCTGTCACAAAACTGAGGCTGAGTTCCCTTATTCTCAATGTCTTTCTATCATATACACCAAAGAAGTAGCTTTGATTTTTTTCCCTATGGTTACAGTGTATAGAAAATTTATTTTTCCCAGAGTGTAAACCAACATCTTTTCTTCCTATAAAATGTTAGCAAGATAGAAGCATAATATGCTGTATTAAATAATGCATTTCCTATACATATACAAATATATATATATTACTATGATAACACATCACACATTTTTACATAACAAAGTCTCTATTTTCCCACAACATAACAATATTAAGATAAAAATACATATAAAATCACGTAGTCAACAAACTAAACTAGTTTTAAATGTAGATTTTGAAGGGGAAGGCACTTGTCCAGCTGGCCCCTTTCCACCTGCAGTGCACACCCAGTGGAGGCTGCTGGGTGCAGGGTGAAGGCAGCAGGTTCACCCATGGCTGTGGCAGCTCCAGCTCAGTGCCCCAGCTCCTGGGGCAGCATCTGCCCTTGTCCCAGGGCTCATTGTCTGCCCAGGGAGCTCTCAGCTCATCTCCCCGTGCCACCACCCAGGAGCAAGGGCAGAGAGCTCAGCTCTGTGAAAGGTAACTCAGGGAAGAAGCAGCCATGGCAGTTTTTGACCTGGTCAGTTTATTGCACCACTACACAGCTGGTCACACCAACACAAGAGTGAGCAGTGGGCCAGAGCAGGAGCTGAAATCCCTGTGGAGGAGGAGGCAGCTCCTCATCAGGATTTGGTTGCCACACCAGTTGCTTTTGACATTGTAGCCAGTGTCACCTTTGCAGCCTGTCCAGCCTCCTGAGGGACTGCCAGGCAGGAGCTCAGAAGGCTGTTCAGATACAATTCCAAACAAATGCTCCTTCTGCAGTAATTCTCAATTTGTTGGAGAACACGGTGTAGACACCACCCTGCTGAGGTGGCCCAGCTCTCAGCTGCCCCTGCAGTAGGGGCATTTCTTCTCTGGGATTACAACACCTGTGCATGGTCACACTTTTGCTTCTTTCTCCCCCAAACCCTTACAGCAAAGATCAAAACCTGCTGTGTTCATGGATACCACATCTCTTGGCCATAAATCACCACACCCTGAAGTGTCTGCACTGGCAGTGGGAGTGACCCTACCACGTTTGGAAAAAATCCACTCTGGAGATCTACCTGCTCCTCATGGTCTCAGCCCTGGAAAGTAATAAGTGCTATTTAAGGGACCCTGTCCATGAATTTCCATCCATTGCTCTGTTTGCTAGCACAGGCAGGATCTAGAATCAGCCAATCTGAAAAATTCTGTGTGGGGGAACATAATTTCTTCTATGTTTTTATCAGTGTATTATCCATGCATTGTTTAATACTAGTCCTGTTGATTGTTGCCATGACCAGTTAATCTGCTCTAAGTGCTGGTTTTATGGGACTTTTGTACATAAATTTGATTAATGCTCCCCATGAAAGTCCCATGAAATACAATTTTATTAAAAAAATATTTGAAGAGCTAAGGGAGCAATGCAAAAATCTCATTTCTTAAATTCTGTAGATTTTTGCATTAGTAGTGTCAGTCTTTGTTGCTGTTTGTAATTATATTTTCTCTAATATTATAGTGAAATTAAATTCTTCACTAATGAAGAGAAGTGTAACATTCTGTATTTTCCTTTCTGCAGTAGGTGTACATCAGTCACTGGGTGTTCCTGATGTTTTTTATCACCATTAGGTAACTGCTTTATGAATGTCTCTCTGACAAAATGTTTAACTTGCCTTTGATAAGGCAAGCAAAGCTTCATCACTTTGTGATAAGCACTGTGTGCTTGTAACAGCTCCTGAGGATCTGGCAGCACACTGTGATTCCCTCTGCAGGGTTCCTGTTAGTGCACCAAATTAAGGATGCTTAGGAACCAACCTGCTTTGTTTTGCTCTGAATCTTTGAGGTGAACTCTTTCTCCACACAGCATGATGTAAAACCTTACCTTTAAAAAAGGCAATTTCAGATCTTGTGTTGGGTCTGAAACAGACAATAGTTTTTGGTCCAATGTGGTGACATGTAAGAGAGAACCAGCATAGCTTTTACAACTTGTCCTGTCTTCATTTTAGCTAATACTGTAATTATATTTTCCTGTATTCTTTCCAGCAGCTCATGCAATAAAGTACTAGATGTTCCCATGCTGTTCCATTTTTTATATAAACAATTCCATAATTGCTGGCTTAGTCAAGTCTGGTTTCTTTTAAGCATGCATTGTGATGTTGTTCAGCTGTCTCTAGCACTCATCTGTGGTACATAAATCAAGCTGGACTGAATTCAGTTCAGGTAAAGACCAGATCTACAGTGCTAAGGAACAATATTTCACTGCTTAATTCTTTGATGCCCTGATTTTTCAGTGAAATCTGTAGTTCTCACAAAAAGGAGGGAGTTAAGATGTTCAAGAACGCAAGGGCAGATACTGGAATGAATTTAAACTCAGTGACAATTTTCTTACTTTTCTTAATTACCTTTTGTAGATGCACTTAATAGATGTTCTCTGACTGCACATCTGGTATATGCAGACCATTGGTATGTGTTCAGACTTACCAGAATTAGTGTTCAAACTTAACCAGAATTAGTGTAGATTAATGGTTCTCAGTGAACCTTCTCTGAGTTTAAAGACCTGCCCACTATAAACTTTTCCAGTCAATTTATCTGACATTTGCATTGACAGTTTTTCCTAAATATCTTGCTGGTCTGAACTTGCTGAGGCTGAAAGATTCACTGCTGATCCCTTGGAATCTCTTGTTTCCCACTTGTGGTGGTGGGATGAGAAATCTGAGTATTGTGGATGGACAGTCAGTCCACCAAAGAGCAGAAATAGTTAATGCTGTCTGTTGCAATTCAAAGAAAACAGTTCACAGATCAGAACTCCACTGATGTTTTAGTTCTTTGACAAGTGAGGCAATTATCTTAAAAATTCAGTTCAGTTTTAGTGCTGCAGGCAAGGAGACACTGCTCCCAGGTGAGTGTCAAGGCAGCTGTTTTGTGGATGCTCAGCTGCACAGCCTGGCCCAGGGGAGTTGGTGATAGCAGCCAACAACTCTGTACAATGTTGGGGCTGCTGAGATCAATACATGTGACTTCAGAGCAAAAATTGGTTGGTCAGCCTCACTGATAAAAGTTCAGTGGATTATCTTTGGACAATCCTTTAAGAAGCCCTAAGCTTATACCCAGAATGAATGCTGGCTCTCAGGCTGGAGTACAATTAGTTTTTTAAAGGATCACTGTGAATATGAACAAAATTATCATAACCGTTAGTGAATGATGGGTCAGACAGAGTCATTTAAAAGGCTTCAATGCTCCTGCAGGCCTTGACCTGGTGAGCTCTAGTCACCCAAAATGCGTATTAGTTAGAGAGGCATCCTGAATTTGATTTTTTATGTTTGCATCTCTGCTTGTAGACACAGAAACAGAACATGCAGAAAGAGCACAGCACTGAGCAACCAGGCTGATCATTTTTCCAGTCTTTGATTCCCATTCTACTGTATAATACCATTGAGATGTGTTTACATCAAGGTAAATTAGCTCTGTTTGCTGAACAGGTTAGCAGTACCCACCTCTGTCTTCAGCTTGAGAATAAAAGGACTAAAGTAGCCTGATCTAATACAGTGGCACAGGCAAGGGGGACACAAGAAATCCTCAACCTGTAAAAACCCCTTCAGTTACCTTGGGCAGGGGTACAGGACATTTTGAATGCTATGAGTTTTTACATCTATTTTAAGTGCAATGTTTTAAAGGCAGTAATTAACAGCACTACAGTCTTGAGGAGCACCAGGTATTTCAAAATTATTGCTGCAATTAAATCCGTTGTCACTGCTATATCCAAGAGAACAGCAGATAGGCAAAGTCACTCAAAGGCCTTTGTAAATGGACTTTTTGGAAAATAGCTATGAGGTTGGGAGGAAAAAAAAGGAAGAATAATCTCAAGTCACCTGGATTTTAAGGAGATCAATTCTTGCAAGATGAAAGACAGCTCAGTCTCCCACCAGAGGGTTGCAATCATCTTGTTGATTTCGAAGCTTTTTCTTGAAGATGGATATGGATGTGGATGGTTGGTAAAATATACTCCAGATCTCACCAGCAGTAGTGACATCACTGCAATCCTCTGTTTCAGCTGCAGCTGGAATCTGGTGGGACCTAGGAAACAAGAGTGAATTCACTCTTGTGTTCAAGTGCTTGGGTAGCTGTGGTTATTAATGTGTCTGCACTGGGAGTGCTCACAGCCTCCACTGCATCTGTGACATTTCTTTCTACCTGATGTGCAAAATGTAGGTTTTTGGAGTGTTTCTTGGTTGGCTTGATCAAATGAAAAGTTAGGCATCCTTCTGCCACCCTAATGACAGCACTGACATTAAGCAAAGAGGGCTCTACAGACTGGAGTTGTTATTATTATAGTTGCTATTAATACAAATTAATTTCCTTGTATATTTTTAAGCATGTTTGTACTATGTAAATACAATATTCAACATTGTGATTTGTTGATAACTCACCCATCATTTCATTCAGTGAATGTCCATCTAGAGGACCCAGAATTTACTTGGTAGGAATGTAGAGGTTTTAATTTTTTCCCTGCAAAGTATTATCACATTTTGACCTCTTCTCACCAAACCTGGATGTCTGATAACATTTTTCTCCTTCCTCCTAAAGTACAGATTTTGTCAAATCAAGACCAGAAGAGATAGTCTAGTAGCAAATGCTATACCAACAGGCTGGAAAGTTTAAAAATGTGCTTATTTAGGATCTTCTATGAGAATAGAAATATGTAATATAGCTAACTTGGTTTGGAATATGGCCAATCTGACAATGGGAAGGCAGAGAGGAGCCCCAGGTTTGGTTCAGAGCTGAGATCTTGGGTCTCTGGTTGGTTTTGCTCCCCACTCACCTCATGGTAACGTGCAGAAGTATCTTTGCTATTATGGCTGTGGCACTCAGGATGAGCAGTGCTGCAAGGCTGTATATTGTCCATTCTGCAAAAGAGAAGAGGGGCAGCTCTCAGTACATTCATTTATTTACAGTTTTTACAGTAAGAGTATTGCATGAAAGGAACAAACAGCCTTTTGATGCTTTATTCAAATCTGGAATTTGACAATGCCTTAAACCTGCAAGTATTTTCTGTAGACTGGCACAAACCATACAACTTTCAGTCAGAACTGCTTTTTTCCCTTGCAGAACTCCTCCCAATAAAACTGAAAGCTGGCAAAATTCAAAGCATATGCTAGTCAAATTATCTAGGAAAGGAAGCAGAAGTTCCCTTCCACCCACTGCCCCATTCCTCAAAGCATTGCCTGTACATGATGATTTGAACAGTACTTTTGGAACTGCATAAAATCCAAGGGTGCAGTTTCTGTTGGTGTTCCTGGGCAGTTTAACACTAAGGCAGCTTAGGTGTAACTGTGGTAAGCCAGCATTAGGCTGGGCCTGGTCCCAGACTATTCCTGGGCAGGTTCTGCACCTTGGCTGGTTTGGGTGTGAGCACATTGCAGGTTTGGGATGCAGACAGCTCCAGGACCGTGGGATTGAGACCCAGCTCCAATGAGACATAAAAGCAGATGGCCAGGGTGGTTTAACAACAGGAGAGAACAAGTGATATTCACTGAGTGCATTTCCAGCCTTCAATTACACAGCTCAGTAATTTCCTGAATTCAGTGATGTCCTCAAGCTGAGTTCTGAACATGACATTTCTCAGTGAGCCCTCCCCTACACCCATTAACTTGTCTAGTCCCCTTTGTATTACTGATGAGGCTTTTGTTAATTGGGATAGCAGGGATGCAACCAGCATTCAAGCCATTCTAGACTCTACAAGTAAAGTTTGCTCTTTTTTCAGCAACTTGTGCCCTTCTGTGGCATGCAGGTCACTAAAGGTGATTGCAGTAAGGAGGCTGCTCTGACTCATGTGTTTTGAGATGCTTTCATTCTCAAGAACTCACCATCTTCACACTATTTCTGACTTGGCTGAGAAGTGTTTTGAAATGTAATGAGAGAATCCCAGTTAGTGCTAATTAGACTGAATGAAAATTCATTTTTTAGTAAGATGCACAGTGGATCTGCTAATGAGGAGGCACCAAAGGAAATAGTGACTCCAGAGTTTGCTTTTGCTTTGGCAAAATGGTTTTTCCCATTTCCCCATTTGATGGTGTCATTACCAGGCATGGAGCTGGTAGGATGGCTTGGGCTGGTTGTGATGACATAGAGGATCTTTGATGACCGGGCTGCATTGATGCTGAGATTTGCTTGCTCATTTGTCCTCTCTGGAAGGGTGTGATTCACTGGGATCTTGTTTTGGTGCACATTGTCCTTCACAGCTGAAAACACAGGAGTGTGATTACAATAACAATCTCTTAACAGGTATAACTGGACTTTATTTTGTGCTTATAAACAGACATGCTGCTCTCTGCTTTACATAAGAGAATTCAAATAATCAAATTATAGCTGATTCCTAAAAAAGCCTGTACTTCACCAGTTTGGGGTTCTCAGAATTTTTCTGGAAGCTGGTTGTTCATCATAACAGTAGGTACAAATCAAGGACCAGAACATTTTCTCCTGATGACTTTTAGCTAGAGAGGAAGAGACTGTTGGGAGGAGCCAAGATAAACCAATGTGCAGATGGATTATTGTTTGTTTTGTTTCCATTTGCCATTTTCTAATCTGTTCTAACAGGAAGATCTAGAATTGAATTTTGAAATTATGAAATAAATAGCCAAGTGCAGGTTTTGAAAACCTGTATTTTGCTATTTATGATGTAGCTGACTGGAATGTTCTAAACTGAGAGACATTTTGGCTAAACTTTCACCCAGTGAGTAGTGGCAACAAGAGAGATGAAACACCTGTTAGATAAGAGCTAAAATATTTGGTTTTTAATCGCCACTTCAGAAATCTCTTGTGTGAATTAAATGCTTCACTGAAAGGTAGAAACAGCAAAGGTTACCTCTTACCTCTATACCTGATAGCAAATCCCTGGGCTTGATTGATGTCATCTGAGAAAAAGTACAAAATTACAAAATCCAAAGAGATGTTAAAGGTGTGGGGAGGCTTGTTCTTGCCATTAAAACGAGCCAGAACGTGGTAGGTGTAACCATCCAGCAATTCCACCATATCTGTAGCATCCTTGATTTCAAAAAGGACAAAGGTGAAGTGGATTTGAGATGCTCCTGGAACTTGTATGGTCCAATAACAGACTTTGCCTGTGCCATATGTGTCAGGGAAATCTGGGGAATAGATGACAGCTGTAGCAGAAGTGTAATTCCCTCCACAGGCACCAATAAGGGCTGTGAAAAGAAGAGGAAAGGGGGGGGAATGGGAAGAAAGAAAGAAAAAAAGAGGTAGTACGTTAATTTTGCAAAGCTTTAGCACCCTATAGATTCTAAAATGTAAATGTGACTTGAAGGTAGACTGGCTAGGCCAGCAGGATGCAGAGTCTGCAGCTGCTCTTTCCCTCCCTCAGCACAGCTTTTGTTGCCTTTTCTTGGAATGCTTATGCCTCATTACTCTGACTCATGCATCAGTCTTGAACACTGCAGCTTTCCTTTGTCCTTGTGTGTAACCAGGTACCCTCTCCTGCATCCCTGCAGAAATGTGATGAAAGATAAATCACTGATTCAGGGGCTTCTACTCTAAACCTATCAGGCAGGCAAGAAAGTGGATTAGTGACTATTAACTCTTACTGCTTAATGACTGACATTCCTTCACAGCTGTAGGAAATTGGAAACTTAAACACCAGTGAATCCAGAGAGAACTCAAATGCCACCAAATGACAGTGCATATCCATGCATGCTCATACAATTTTTTACTCTCTAGTCAGATCAATGCCTAGGGAGTTTCTGACAGCTAAGTACCACTTGTGAAGAAAGTGAGAACCTCTGGAGCATGAGCAAGCAAAATTTCTTGGAAGAGCTATTTCACATTATTAATGGATGAGAATTTTAGGCAGAAATGGAAAGCAGCTTTAATTTATACTGCATGGAGGTGTTTTGCTGTTTGGTGTGCAACAGTTCTCTTTGTTTTGAGCCTTTTCCCTAATTTGCTGAACATGTGAGGCCTCTCCTTTGGGAAAAGCTGAGCCTGCTTCAATACTTACTGTCAAAAAGAATGACTCTGCCATCCCCACCGCAGGGCTGAGTGTGGTCTCCAAAGCAAACACTGTTGCATTCCGTGCTGGCTGCCTCCCCGTATCTCCAGTAGTCAGGATTATTTCCACAGAAGCAAGCATAACCTGATTCCATGCCTGCAAACTTTGACAACAAAGATGCATAAGGAAGGGAGGAAAAGTATTTGAAGGAGTGACAGCGGGAGGTTGTTTGAGCAAGAAAGCTGGCAAAGAAAATGTGTGTTTTGGAGAAGTATGATTACTCAGAGGAACCACCACAGGCTATTTTTGTTTGGGCTGTCAGGATGCTACTTAAGACTGGGGGGAAAGACAGAATGGAGGGCACCCTGACATAATGGCAGTAAGCAACCATATTTTCCCCTGGTGTTATTCATTAGCCATTTGTCCAGATTCCTCTGGATGCAGAGACAGGGCTTGATCTCTGCGGTGGAAGTCCAACCTTAGACCTCCCCAAGGTTAAAAAAAAATGGGGAAGAGGAGAAATAGGACAGAGACCTGTAGGCATGTTGCCATTTTTGTGTTGGAAAGCATTCTGTAAATGGATGGGAAGGAAATCACCTTGAACTGCTGGCTGCGGCAGGAGCTGATGCACGTCTGGATGGTGAGCTTGTTGGAGGTCTCGCTGGTGCCAGTCAGGGGTGGTGGCTCCCCATGGTCCTTGTAACAGCCCAGATTTCCTGGCACTGGCAACAGTGACACAAACCAGTCATTCTAGAGTGCCTGTAAACATCCCAGATCACTTCATGCACTACCTGGTCACTGAGCAGCTCTCTCTATGTTCTGGGCTCGATGCTGCCCTATGGGAACTCTTTGTTACTCATGCTCTGCATGATTCTTGTCATATTTTCCAAACACACCCAGGGATGAGTGATGGGACAAAAGAGTATCATATCATCTCAGCAATATACCTGTAAGACTGTCTAGCTGGTTTCAGTAAGCTGCAGTAAAATATACAAGATAAATACCTTGTTCATTTCTCCTGAAAGAGGCAATTTAAAAAACCCAAGGCATTAAGTGGGTTCAGGGGGGTTGTGTGGTTTGTTGTTTTTGTTTTGTTTTTTACTACTGGCATGCATATTCTGAAAATGTAAATTAAACTGTTTGATTTCTGTCTGACCTTCCAAACGTGACATTCTGGAAGTTTTCAAAACAGGATATTTGAGGGAGGGAACCTAAACTGTTTTAGAATGGAGTTTGGCAAGTTTTATGGGAGGGACTAATATAGGGGAATTTCCTAATATTTAAAACTTGCATTCTGATATGAATCTGAAGCATCATACAAGGAGAATAAAAATGAGCAATATTACTTTAAGAAAACAACCCATCTATTTACATTAAAATGATGTTTCAAGGCTCCTTGGTCACTATGGGAGATCAGAGTTTTCTCCCTTCAGTGCTCTGGTATTTTTTTTGGTTTTGCACTTTTCATCAAAGCACTGGAATTTAGCCATGACCACCCTGGGGAGAGGATGTGGAGTACAATACAGTGCTGGGATAATGGCATAAAATTATCCCTTGCCCACTTGTCATATCTATTCACATGCTTGAAATTAAATCTGTTACTAGCTCTATGTTAAGTTTTATTCTTGTGCCAGATTGACATGGATTCTTTTTGTCCACCTAACTGCCACAGCTCTGTTTGACATGATGTGCTCAGAGACCTGTATGAGTGTTTTATTTATGTAGTCATTGGTATTAAAGTACCCAGTAAACTTATTATAAATAATGACATAATGTTGCTTGAAATACTGTTCAGAAATTTATTTTGTTCTCTAAGAATACAATTTCAATTATAAATACTTGCATGGAGTTATGGCTTTGATATGCCCTGCAGCAACATTCATATAAGTACTGAGACTTCAAGTTACAGCCTGATTTAACATACCTTTGGAAATCCCCACTTGCAGCCCCACCCCAGCTGAGTACAGCTGGGCAGATAACTCATGAGAGAGCTCATTCTTTTTTGTATTGTGCATGATTTCACAGCCCTGAAAAAGCTTCCTAGTTATCCAACCTAGCTCATTTTCCTAAGAGACCTGGGATTTTAATTTTTTTTTTTTTTAAAGTAGCTTTATTAGTGAGACCTTTCAACCTTGGCTCCAGAGGATTAGTACTTCAGTATGCAGAGAAACCTGAGTAATTTGAAAACTTCTTAAATTTTTTAAATAAATCAAGCGTACATCCTAAGGCTAATAAGTCTCTGGTGTCCCAGCATTATTTTAACATTCTTTGCTCTTAATATTTAGCTTGTTAAAGAAACTTGGCAAAAAAAGTGAGGTAGTCAGTGTTCTGCAATTACTGTTCATGCTCACCAGTGATATTTCACTATTACACTGTCTTCACCCATTTGTATCTATTTGTCCTCTTCTGCTTAAAAGGTCACCTCTTTTGCACAAGCATATTATTTTTCTTTTAAGCAGCATTTGACTTAATGAGGTCCTGGCAAACCCCACAGTTTCTGCATTTTACATGTTGAGGCACATATTCAATATATTAAAATATGGAATTAATCCTTTTGAGCTCAAAACCATGTTCCAGCTATGCTCATCTGGCTGTCTTTGAAGAGCTTCCCAGCTTTTTGCACATGCACAAATTGTTAGGGCTGTCCTTGTTCCTGTGTTCCATACAGATCTGTATAAATTACCTGGCCCTGCCATTTAACACCTCCTCCATATTTCAGTCAAATTTATTACATTACATACATGCACACTGGAAATATGATTCCAGTAATGAAATCTGTTTATGAGGAGAGAGTCATGTGAGTCATAAACATGAAGATGTAGTTAAGTGGCAGAGCAAGCCTTTCTTTCTTTCTTTCACATTTTGGAAGTGTAAGTTGTTATTTCCTTTGAACTTAAACCTAACCTCATTAACAAGGAGACCAAAAAAGTCAGGAATAGCTGCAGCACTGCAAACAAACCATCTGAAGCATTCAGTTCTGAATGCTCCATGTGAGATGCACATGTTCTCTCAGCACTCAGAGCTGCAGCCTTGCCTTTTATTTTGTTTCTGTCCATTCCAGTCTGCTTAGCAGACATGAAAAAGGGAAGAGGAAGAAAAGGGAAGACAAAGCTCCTCCTGGAGTAACCACCACTGTCTTCTGTGACTGTACTCATCCATCTTCATATAACACTGCTAAATTCTGTATATTACCTTTGCAGAATGTCAGAACACATTTCTGACTGAAGCATGTAGTGTTATGTAAATATTAGGGAATGAGACACATGAGATAATCATGTGAATTCATCACCATAATGAAAAATTCTTAACTGTAGATTCTTAATTATTGTTCAGATGAATCATTGCATGCAAATCTCTCTAGGCAATCAAGATGCTTCATGTTGCTGGCACTGCTATGGTATTATGTGGGCACAGTTAATAGGTAACTTATGTTCCAGATAATTTTCTACTAGTAAATAACATTAGGGAAAAAAAGCTTATATAAGAATTTTTTCTCGAAAAATTTCAAATAGTTTTTTTTTTTTTTTAAATAATTGCTTTCTTGCTCCATCACAAAAGTCAAGTTTTGCATTCAAAAACTGACTTTGCATTTTATTTGTAACTTCACAAGATAGTTTTGATGGTCCTATGACTTAGCATCATGCTTACTGAAAACAGAAAGTGTGGTGAAGAATAAAAGATTTTTTTACACAGCTTCATAAACCATGAGGTTTGTATTAAGATTTGGATGTGATTGCAATGTACAGTTTGCTCTAAATTGCTGCAATTCCTTTTTCTAGTATCGAGTTTCAGTGCAATGCTTGAAGCAGCTGCTACTGGTCAAAAGGACATTTTGTAAATGTAAGTCTGGATTATCTGTGCAAGTAAGTGTCCAAGTTTAAATCCTCTGCTCCCCACCACAGAGAAAATGAGCAAGGCTGGTTTTAAAAGGATCCTTTGTGTAGAACAAATGGAGTGGAGAGAATTTGTCTTTCAGCTTTTTTCCTGGTGCCATATCCAGATAATTTGTTAACATCTGTGGTCTTTAAAGAAAATGCAAATTCTTTCATTTTAGACCAAGTTAAATTTCTTAATTAGGAGGGTCAAGTTTCTTAAATCATACCTTATATATTGGTAAAATAAGTAAGATGTCCTCTGAACAATGAGTATCAGAGTGTTGAGTGATTTTGTGTTATTTAAATTAGACTCCTTAATCTGTATTTAAGTCTAGGTAAAAGCCATCTGTCTTAAGGTCACACTTATGTATTTGTTTGCCTAGCATGAAGATGTGAGTCATTCACATTCATAAAAACCCCAAAACAACAAAGCTATGAACAAAGTAAAAAAAAAATCACTTTAGCTCCATTTTTCTTTCGTCTGGTTTTGCTTTCTGAACTTCAAGTAAGAAATAGACTTCTTCCAATCAAATGTATGTCCACATGTGGACACCTGCTCTGGTGCTTAGCACTGAAGACCTAAGTTATGCCTTAGAAAAAGAGGGTACTTGCACAAAAGAAGTTAGGAAAGCAAGTGAAGTCATTAATGATTAGACTTATTAAAATGTGTAGCCATGGTTGCTTGTTAACATGCAAAACTAGAATATCTTCTTAGTATTTGGACATATTTTAAACAGTGTGATTTGGGAAAGAGAATTTTGGAAGATACTGACACAAATCATGACATTGTGGACACAGTAAAAATAGAATACATTAAAATATTAAATTCTGGAAAGAAGCTTCATGTGAGTAGCTTGTAAGTGATCTGATTTTAAAAAAATCAAACTAAGTCCAAGTTGTGGTTTCACAGCAATGCTAAGTATCTGCACCTGCCAGAGACAGAATTCTACTCCAGAGTTCCCATACAGCACACAGACACCTTTTCACTGTGTCCTCTCATATTTTCATGTTTTCTCCAAGCAGTTCTGCATATGATGCTCTATACACATTAAACTAATGTAATTTATTTCATGAGCGAATTGCAATGAAGGGACACATATATACCTTGTAAAAACTCCTTTTTTGTTTTTCTCCTCTAGATTTTAATAAATTAATGATCTATTGATTCAAAGAGCTAGCAGTACTTCACATGTTTTGTGTGACTCCCTATCATACAGTATTATTTCTAAATAATATCATCCAGTAATTCTGAGATAAGATGAAAAGGATAACAGTGGAGGAACGATTCAGTAAGCTTGTCATTAACTCTCAGAAACCTGTTTAAAATACAGCTTAGTCTGCAAATGAAAATAAGCTGTTTTGCCTTATCCTAATTTGTGTTTGGAAATCACCACCCACTGTTGTGGAACTGCCAATCTCTGCTCAGGTGAGAAGGAGGCCTAAAAAATCTGCAGGGTGCTCTTACTTCTGCAGGATGGGATCTCACAGTATTTCCAGTATATTCCATCTTCATGTTCTGCAATATAGCACCATGGGCTGACATCCCCATCAGGGTTTCTGAAAGAGAAAAATAGTCATTGAAATTTATCTTCTTTTTCCTAAAATCACACCAAAAAAATCAATCTTATTAAACTTCAATGGCATTACTATTTTTGCTCTAGTACCTACCAAAAATGCAAAGTTTTGCATTATCAGAAAGTTCAGATAGCTTTGGTTATTACAGTATTCATCAAGCACAAGATGCTAGTAATGTCTAAAATGTAGCTTTGTTTTACTCTAAGGTGAAAAGGTGCAGAGCTGTTTCTGGTCAGTACTGACAGAGAGGAAGGTTTTCTGTCCCACATCCTGTGTACAGGTTCCATAGACTCATAAACTTGATTTTCTGCCTTGGTACAAAATAGTCCAGACTCCAACTTTCTGTGTGTATGGTGATAAAAACACTTAGCTGATAAAGGCTTCTGGGAAAGACTGAATTTTTTTCCTCCCTTTAAATAAAACTGTGATTTAACCATCAATATAAAGAGATCATTTCAGTGATCTCTTTATATTGATGGTTAATTCCTTATATGTCCATGATGTTGATCACTATTTTTATAATTATTTGCTGTTGTGTAGCACCACTTACAAATGCATACCTAATTAGTCATTAGGTTATTTAAAGTTTTTTTCTATATACACTATGAAAGGCTATTCACATTGCAAAGATCTATTTAAGAGAATAATTTCTTATTTTGGACAGGTTAAAGTATGACTTTTTCTTTTAACTAGGACCAGTTGCAATCTTTTTATCATGTGCTTTGGCATGAATTCTATAAATGACACTGCCCTACTGAAGTGTCAGTCCAGCTGCATCTTGTCATTTATGCCTATTAACAACTCTTTTGTGGGAGATCCAATTTTAGAAATTCTGTGGATGTTTTTTGGTCAAATAGCAGACTGCTGAAAACAACTGGTGAGATGAGTGCAGTTTAGATGACTAAAATGCTGCTAGTTAGGCTTTCAAACAGATTAGTAGAGGCAGTGCACCAGAAAAGTCTAAGACTAGCTATGCTAGGAATTTAGGTGTAATGCAAGAGCCTCCAGTAGCTAAAAAAAGTAGAAGACTAAAACCAAGTGAAACTTGTACTTGAACTAACCCATTTTCCCTTGTTGCCAGAGTTACAGGAATTTTTGCAATTACATCTTCATGACAGAAACCGTATGTCAGGAATTCAATCATGAGAATGGCACTCTACATAGAAATGCCTTAAAAATGTGAGGAAATTGGAGAGAAACATGATGAATGTCTTTAGAAATCTTTGTCTTCAACCTCAGAAGTGCATGGCAGTTAGAAAGCAACTCTCTGTCTTTCAAAATCTCCAAAAATCTCAGTCCTCATAATTTTGTTATGGTTGAACTGAGTGAGGCATTTCCATCTTGACAGGGTGTCTTGCAGTAAACAAAATGTTCCAAGTAAGGACCACCCATGGAGAGGTAACATGCTTCTGATTAATATTTCAAGTGTAAAATTTGCTTATTCAAATGTTGTCCCCAAAATCAAATCTCAAGTCTATGTATTATGTCTTAAAAAAGCCCTGTGAGGTATGTGCTGCCTGAGAAAAGGGAAAATCCACTTGTCCATTGTCATCAAGCAGATGAATGTCAGAGAAAGAGCTAAACCAGCTGTATTGCAGACCTCAACATTTGCTATAGATATATTCTGGCACTCTTAGTGACTTTCCAAACTTTCTTTCAAGAGAATGTGAAGTTAAAAGTCATCCATCAGTTAGGACTCTCACTCCATAAACCTGTGAGAATATTCCTAGGCCAAGTGATACAGCATAAGGAAGAAAATGAGGACAATCTAATACTTAGCAGACTCAGGTAAAAAGGCTCTTTTTGGTAATGAAGTAATTTCTCAGGTTTACACATCAGATTATAGGCTTCTTGCTCCTTGTAGCATTTACCAAGTTCTCATTTGCTAAGTAAAGCAAGTCTCAAGTAAGTGTTTTTTGAGTATCTGGATAAACATCCAGTTTCTCATGCATGTTTTTGCTCAGCTTGTACATGTTTTGCTTTGTACTAACTAAAATATTAGCCAGAGATGACTGCCAAAACTAAGATCCTGTAGCTACAGCCTGTCTAGAATATTGCCACACAGCAACAATCAAAATTACATTCTTGATTCTGCTATTATTATCAAAGAGAATTCAGTGGCCACTGTATTTTTCACAGCTCTGTATTAGTATGCCTACAGAGACAGCTGAAAAAAGCCTACAGAGCCTAAACATCTCTGAACTTAAGTTCTGATTTGGCTCCTAAATTCTGAAGTCCTTATTTAAGTTTTGTTCTAAGTTCTACCCATAGTTATGGAGGACTTTCTCTAGAAGGCAAGGAAACAGAAGTGCATGTTTTAATGCACTTAATCCATGGTTTAATCTGGTATTGTAACCCCTGACAGATGAGATTCTGAATTCAAATAACTCTAAATCACTGATGCTCAATTAGAATTTTTAGTGACTGTATAACTTTCATTAGCACAAAACTTGGGAAGTGTAACAGAACCAGGGTTGTGTGTGAGCATAAAAACCATCCAGAGACTCCTCCAGACACTCACTGCACTGTGTCCTTCTAATCTGGATTATTTTTTTTTATCTCCACCTTTTCATTTAAGTAATCTATAGTCTTTCTCCGTTGTGCCACCTTATAAATTAGACACATGATAGGGACTGTGCTGAAAAAGTGTGGGAGCTGGGTTGAAAAAGTTATTCTGTTAATGGTGCTGATAGATTCAGGGTACTGAAAACAGGGTAAACCAAAAAGTGTTAGATACCCATGGTTCTGACCTTCTTCACTGTATAAAAGGACATTTCCTAATTTTCTGTCAACTGCTTACAGTAACACTGGGCATGTGGGCAATGTTACAGCAATGGGATATTTCTTACCTGCAGTAGTTGTGCTCTCCAAGCCCTCCCTCCCCATTGGGATATTTCACAGTATTGTAAGGATGCTCAAATGTCTCGTTCCAATAAAGACAAGGTTTCCCTGCATATTGGGAGGTCTGGTTCTGAGTGCCACGGTAGTCAGCCCCGTTGGCTGTGTAGCATTCTGGGAAGAAAGAGAAATGGAAAAGAAAGAATGTGTGTAGGTTTAGTGCTTGTTCTCTCCTCACCCTCCACCCCATATCCAACAGACCATGCTTCCTGCATTGTTTAGGCAACTAAAGATGCTGGCTAGGATTTAAACTTTCACTCAGTCAAACCTCTATTCAAGAGATTATGATGTCATTACTTTAATAAACAATGTATAAGACAGGTCTGATGAGAGGTTTACACAATTAACATGCATTTTTTGAATAACACAATACTTTTTTACTTTTACTTGTGTTTTACTAATTTACTCATGACTCTGTGAATTGTTAATTTCCCAAAAATGAAATCATATGACATTATCAGTCTGCCACTGATCAGTCTGCCACCAAAATCTCATGTCACTTCAGCTAAAGCTGTGACTATCTGTACTTTACAAAGTGAAAGACTTTGTAAGCATGGATTTTACCAACATTTACATTCTGATTTAGAAAAATTCTTACATATTGAATTGCCTTAGAAAGGGTCCTCCTTCAACAGAGTACAATCACAATACTGTGATTTGCTACTAAAGCATTTATGCTTTCAGATTAAAAAGTATAGGTCAGTATTGTTCTGCCTCACTCACTCATATTTTCTCCCACTTACATTTGTTTTGCTAGCCTCCTAATACTCAGCAAGTTAGAAACCAAAGTTGAGAATGATTTCACTAAATACATTATCCCCTTCTCAGCTGAACTACAAATTTCCTGCTGCCTGCCTTTGCTGGGCCTTGTTAATCACAGAATTGTGGAGTGGTTCAGGTTGAAAGGGACCTTAAAGATCATCCAGTTCCAACCCCCCTGCCACGGACATGGACACATTCACTGGACATCTTCTGATGAAATAAATATCCAAATGCATGAACAATTTCACTTTTGCTGAAATTGCCAAGCATTTTTGATTAAATTATGCAACGTGAGTGTGGCAGAGCATGGGAAGAAGTTGCCCAGCAAGGCTGTAGAATCTCCATCCCTGGAGATATTCCAAAGCCACCTGGACATGGTCCTGGGCAACCTGTTTTAGGTGACTGTGCTTGAGCACAGCAGTTGAATAATGTGACCTCCAGAGGTCACTTTCATCTCAGCCATTCTGTGATTATCTTCCAGGAAGAATGATTATAATTAGTTTACCATAAATAAGTCCATCCTGCTTATAATTAATAGTTGCTAACATTTATCATCCTTGCATTTATTTAAGAAGAGGATTAAAACATAACAGTCTGGGACAGAATTAAAACTGTTGTGTTACACTGCTGTAAACATTTCTTTGTACTGGACAGCATTACTGGGGAAATTCATTGAAAATTAGCTTTCTGCTAACTATAGGGTGTGAAACCTCCTGTTTCATCTGATAGTGTTCTCTGTAGAAACCATATTGCAGCTGCAGAGATGTTCTGCTGCCCTGAGGGAGTGGGAGAGTGCTCTGAAGTATGTGCTGATCTCAGGTGTCCCTCATGAAATCTAACTTACAAAACAAGTCTAGAAAGACCTGTGTGGCTGCAGTTGGAAGAGGGGAAAAAAACCCACCCACATTTTAATCCTGATATTAACAGTATACTGTTTTTGTATTTAGAACTACTGTAGAAGAAAGAAAAAATGGATTATTAAAACCATGCCTCTGAAATTAGTTTAGTCTGGGCTCACAAATATCAGAATGGTACAATTATAATAATTATTTCAGAGTTCTATAACACAGCAGATGAAAGACAATGGTTTTGTGCTTTCACTGCGCATTTTCATGCCTAGGCAAGTTTGGATTTCTATTAAATGAAATTTTGTTGCTGAAGGCACATAGAAGAGGTGTCTGCACAGCCATTAATATATTCTGCTATCGTCTGTGGACAGAAAGGTGTATAATTTAACAAAAACAAGCTTCAGGTCAATACTCCTCCTTACTGTAATTTACCTGCCTTAGCAAAACAGGTGGGCTGCATGCATTTGCTTAAAAATGCAAATCTGAGTTTCCAGCATTCAGGCCACCACAGATATTTGTGTAAACATGAAAAAACCCCACTTTAAGGTCATGACTGTGTTGCATCTTTCTTCAATACCTCTTTTACTTTGCAGTTAATATAAAAGCTTTTGTAGGTTATAGCTGAAAAATATAAGCTAATGATTTTAGCAGAAAAGAGAAAAAAATGTAGTCAAAATAGATAAACAAAATGATAAGCAGCAAAAAGAATTTGTGAAAAGTGATAAGCACATCCAGAAAAGATATCTACATTAGCTTTATGCTTTAATTTTTTTTTCTTCTCACTCTTAATGAAAAGCAATATATACTTCCATCTACTCAGAAATGTAACGAATGCTACAACACCTGAATTCAGTCTGGCACACAAACTAAACTGAAGTTAACTTCAGTCCATTTCAGGATCTGCTAAGACTGGCCCATGCTTTAACTTGCAGTAGTGACTTACATTTTCATGTCAGCTTTTTTTAACTGATTTTCTTCAAACTTCACTGCACTTTAAGAAAAAAAAGGAAGAGTCAGAGCCCACCTATCTAGCCTACCTATCTCTCTTCATTCCTCTCAACTGCAGTTTTTGTTCCCCAGTCAATAGGTAGCTGTATCAGTGCCTCCTGTGTTCCTTTGTGCTGTCAAGAGATTTGGTGCCAATGTTTCAGCTGAGTTGTAACAAAGCTCCCCTGGCTTAGATGTGGATGTGGAAAGGGGAGGCAGTGAGATACCATGCAAAATCATTGATTAGCCCTGAAACACTGAAGTGAAAACTTGAAGTCATGGAATTTAGCAGCTGTTATCAAATGAAATACAAAACCTTTTGTGTTACAGGGAATTTGGATTTTCTTAAGGATTAATAACGATTTTGCCATAGCATGGGAGTGCAATATTTTCAAATAAATATTGGCATTTAAAAAAATCAGGTCAATTGTCCTTGCTATGCTCCCTCCTGGCTTCTTGAGCACTTGCTCACTGGCTAAGCATGGGAAAATGAGAAGTCCTTGATTTAGAGTAAGCACTACTTGGCAACAACTAAAAAATTCTTCTATTTGTCACACACAGTGATTTCATCATATTTTGCTGTGTAACAGCCAAGACAGTACCTTAGTGATTTCACCATGAAATTAATACTCTCAATGTGCTGAAGGTGCATGTTTTGTCTGCAGAAAGGCCACTGTTCTCTCTATTTCAAATCCAAGCCCTAAGATATTCTGGAGAACAGGAAGTTAGAACCTCCACCCTACTTTTTGTCTTGCACCACTGGTGCAATAATTCTGTGAAAAGATGAGCTTAAAAAAAGGTCACCTGGATTTGTCTGCACAAAAGTAATTCAGATGAGGTCATCTAAATTAAACACTCAGAAAAGACTGGACTGTATGCTGTTGGTAAAACTTTTCAGTTTACTCAAATCACCTATTTCTCTTTGGTAGATTATGCAAAAGGGAGGGAGAAAATATTAAATCAACCAGCAACAACCACCTCTGTGTTGTGGCACCCTTAGGTTGAGTGATACTCCCATCACACACTAGGGTATGAAGCCCCTCACTTGGAATGTACCATCAGAACTGTGACTCAAGAAAATTCATATGATTCTGTGAATTTCAGCAAGCCTTTATTCCTTAAAGTTCTGTAAGATTATCATAAACTGTGACAGAACTTGCACTTGTCCAAGTCCCAGTGGCAAGGACAGACACCTTGGGGACACTACAAGCCCCAAGAAGGCATCAGGTTGCCACTGTGTTTGATAGATTTGCCACATGGACTTTGTTCAGGCACACAAGGCTCAGACTATCCTGTCAGCTATAAAGCTCTACTGAAACACTAGGGTTTCAGACAGGACAGCTGAAAGAAGAAAACTGTGACCACTCAAAGCTAGAAGTGTGTGACCTCATACTTCTAAGATCTTAGTCAGCTGGGTTTCAGACACAGTCTGAAGTAGAGGCTTGTGTCAAAACTGTGATTAGAATCAGTGTCCGTGATGATTTCACTCAATTAACTGCCTAATGACCCTGCTGCTTCTGCTGTGTCATGGGGATGTCTGTAAACAGAATTAATCAGAGATTAATCAGAGATAATTAATCAGAGAACCTTTGCAGTGGTTCTAGTCACAAAAGGTTCCAACAGATGCTGTTCATGAGCCTTGATGAGAAAAGAGGGACAGCACTTCGTTGTCAGGGCTGTTTAGTTTTCAACACATCAGGTGCCATGGTTGACAGCAAGTAACTTTTTAAAATGAATGCTGAGGCTAGGTAAGCATGTACTGAGTGACAACTGCTAGAACAAAAAAGCAGAAAACAAGACTAGGGATGTTGTCCACTGTAAGTGAATACTCAGTGTGTGATACAGGTTCACAATTAGTTTTATTAGAGCCAGATCAACATTTGGAAGATCAAACAGCAGCTGTTGTAGAAATTCTTTCCATCTGTGTCGGTTTCTTCTTCAATGTAGGGACCTTACAATGATCATTTTCCTTTGTTACTTTGGGACTGCATGGCTGCCTGCACTCCACATGGGCGCCACTTTAGGATCATTTGAAAAATTAAGGTAGTGCAGACTATAACAGCCTGATGTTTTATTGATGATAAATCACTGACATTTCAGAGTCTGCACTGGCTTCCAATGATTTTCTCAAAGACATCTATCTAGAGACACTACAAATTGCAGACTGAAGGGATGGAGGCTTCAGGATGGTTTAAATGACTTCTTAGAGTACTTTCCAAGTTTGAGGCCTGTACATAGCTTTTGAGACTGAAAATTCAGAATGACAAACTTCTTCCTATTCCACTGGAGAGGAAAAAAAACAAACCAAACCACTTTGTTTGCTTAATGTTTTCAAAGCTACTTGGAGCATTGAGCAGTGTCCAGAGAGACTGACAACAATTATCAACCTGAAACTGGCCTACCCAAGCCAGAAATTATCCTACCACCTACTGCCCAACAATAAGCAAGGTTTTCTTTTAAAGATCTGCAGATTAATGAAAGATAAATGAAAGTGGCTACTATTTAAATCTTGGGTTTCATTACAGCATTGTAATTAAATGTAAGGTTGGACCAAAAATTAAAGGTTCCTTGAATTTACGTGGTATAACTGCCTGCTCAGTTTTCACTTGTTTTTCCTACAGCTTTTTAGAAAAGTCAGAAAAATGCTTAAGCAGAATATAAGGGTATGAAACCAAGGGTGCCAGGTCCGATAATGACTCAGTGTGGGTTGCCTGATGCATGTTCTTGCAGAGTATTCCAAGAATAATTTTAAGTCATTTCCATTCTATCTAAACTGTTCTAGCTCTTGCTGGAGATTGCAATTTAAGCACTCCTCCTTAAATGAAAGCACTGTATCTAGGTGCAGATGGCAACAGTTACAGGCACTAACCAGATGCTGCAGTCTCTAATTTGATTGAAAGGGTATAATTAGACAGCAGAAACACTTCAATGAGAAAGTAATGCACAGAGGAAAGGACAGAAACCACTTAACTGATGCCAAGATACCCCGGCAGTGACAGAGGCAGGGGCCCACGGGTGGAAGGGGCAGAACACCACATCACCTTCTTCAAATGAGAACGTTTCTGTTTCCCTCGAGATTTGAATAGGGATTCTATTATCATAGGTTGCCACAGTTCTTCATGTGGGAACACTGATTAAAACCAGAAGAAGCTTCAGGAGATGAAAGACACAAATATGGCTTCTGTGGTCATTATTAAAAATATTTTTAGCATTGCAATGGTTTTCTTTGAAGATGCAGTTTTATCGACTGAACCAAAAGTTAATTTGCATACTATCATATGAGTGGTCAGGAAAAAAAAAAATCTCATTCCATATTATGATGCAAAATAAATGCTTTTGGGAAGTATAAGGCTGATTTAGATCTACCCAAGTAAAAAAATAGTGTACTATTTTTGCATTTCAATACGTTTCTATTCCAATTCATACTAATATAATACAACCACTCATCAAAACTGTCAGGCTTCTGTGCCTGTGCTGTAACAGTAAGAATCTCCCACAATAGAACAGTTGATACAAGCTAAAGAAAAACCATCATGAAAGAATTATCTTTGTTTAAAATAGCAATTTTCAAAATCCCTAGAAACAACTCCCCATTTCTTAAATTAGACAGTTAAATTTTGATGTGATGCAATGAGGGCACTTGATTAGCTGATCATTTTTTCCTTTACAATGTGGGGGCACTTCATATGTAGTTTAAGAATTGTATCTGCTCATTCTACATATCCATGCAAACACACACAAAGACATACACATTTAATTTTTTTAAGTCCTCAAATGCAATCATTTTTGCTAGTCAGAATTAGACACCTAATTAGCACTGGTCCAAGCCAGAGAGTAGCCACAGTGAATATCTGATTCTGCTTGAATTATGCCACCTGAAATTTGCTCAAACCTTGACTGAAGCATCTCTGGTAAAAATGCACATTCCTGGAAATGTACAGACATGCAGAGTTGATACTTGTGTTCCCTGGCAGCGTGTGAGCTGTCATATATGTGAACTTGCTATCCTTGTGAAATTTTGACTCTAATTGTCAAGCTAATCACTTTTCATCACTTTTTATTTGTTTAAAAAAAAAAATCTGTCTGGCCAGACCTTTTCTGGAATATGTTGGAAGCAGATGAGCTGGGTTATGAGCACAAGAGACAGTTCCCATTATTTCTAAGTGCATTCTGTCCCTTTTGTCTTTTTATTTGTACAATACAAACATGCTATATTAGCCAGAGCTTTGCAGCTGCTGGCTGGTCCTCAGCCACAAGATGCAAACACACTTGCTTGCCTTGTGATTCTTTATCACTGGAAGTAAGAATGTGTGATGTGACCCCATAAGAATTTCTGTTCCTTAATACACCCATTTGTTTTCTTTCTTTGTGAAGTTTTTAAACTGTTGTTCCCTTGTCAAGTGTGGCAGGGCTGAATCCCTTTGGCACTTCTATCAGGATGGGCCATAGCCACTGTGTGGATGAAGGGAGTGGTGAGTTGCACAACCATTATGGTGTGATGTGACAAAAAATGAAAATTTTGCAGCTGGCAGCATGTAATCTCTGCCTCCCTCCTACTTCTTTGGCTCCATCCTGCTTAAATCTATTCACATAACTCTGGATTTTGAGTTATGCTCTATGCATGTACAAGCACGATATGCTGAAATGTCTGACTATTTCATCCCCTATCTGCCTAGTTAGAAAGAAAAAAAATTGCTTTTTAAAGTATTTTTATGAGGCTTGCCTATGGCATATCAAGTAGAACTGCTTCTCTGAATCACTAAGGCTTAGAGAGAATAAGATGACAAGAGATACCAGGTTTGTAAGAGAAGGCTGGAATAACAGCTCAAAGGAAAGACTCAGCTGGGAAAAAAACCAAGGACATGGTGACTCAGTATTGCTAAATGGAAAGAAAACAGAGAAAGGAAAAAGAGATTGATAATCACATACATTTCTGATGGGGAAATTAAATGAATGGTATAAATACAGAAACTAGAAATTACAACTTATTGCACTGAGTATGTAAAATAACATTTGTTCACCAAAACTAACATTTGCTGAAGGCATTTCCATTTCTTTGGCCTCACCAAATTCAAACAGTCCTTTAATGGTAGGTAATCTATCCACACACTTCTTATTTCTGATCCACTTGAGAAATTATGTATGGCTGATGTTTGAATGCACACATGCCAAGGTTTGAATGTAGAAATATCAGTGTTTGAGTGAATAGAAACTGTTGAACATCGCATGGCAAAGCAGAAACGTTATGCAGAAAGTACCATAGTACTATGTGCAAAAATGGTTGTTAATTCACTTTCATTTCTGACAACTGGAGTAATTTCTCATATAGTAATTCCTCAAGTTTTTCTCCTATCTTAGCAAGTGATGGTGACACAGTTTTTATTTTGACTGCACTTTACAATAAACTTATAAGGACACGCATTAAAAAACCAGAACAAGAAACAGGCATTAAAAACATACCATACAACAAACTGCCTTCCAAAAGCAATAATAATGTTTGTCATTTCAGAATTCTGCTAGATTCAAGTGCAACCTGACACAGCTGATCCTGTTTCAGGTCTGTGGGATTCAGGGTCAAGACGAGGACCCTTGTGCAGATCAGGAACTCTGCAGATCCTGTACCTGCCATACAAATTACAAGCTGTTGTATTTGCACTGTTTGCAGGTTCTTGAGCAGAAGACATATGGGTGGCAATGCTTTCTAGATCCATTCTCCCTTGCTGCACCTTCATTTGGAGGCATTATATACTCTTCCCTCCTCCCCCTGCCCCAGCTGCTTGTGCTCAGGCATTTCTGTCCTCTTTAACAGCCCAACATTCATGCTGGGCCATATCCTCCACTTGCTGTCACACAGCCCTCTGTGAGAGACATGGTTACACATGGAGGGTTCTGTTCAGAAATCTTACAAGCATTCTTCAACCTAAGCAAAGGAAGGAGTATCCACTGTGTGCACCAAGCACGTCCTAATGGTGCTGGGAAAAGAATCTTAGATATAGTCCTGTCTAGGCAGCTCTCTAAAGGTTTATCTGAAAATACTCTCATGTTTTACTTCTGAGAAGAAGTAAAATGTACCAGAACTTTTTTTTGTAAAAGATTTTTAGTCCCTGCAAATCACTGTGCAAGTATTTTCCGTTTCTAATTAGTTGCATCTACAAAAACTTGATGAGCAAGTATGTGTTCAAAAAGGAGAGCAAATTCTACTTTGTTAGAAGAAACAGCAATCAAGAATACACGAAATGTATCCAGAAGGACCACACATCTGATGGCTGCGACCATCTGGAACTGCCACTTCTGATCTTGCAAAGCATGGCCAATGTTTACCAGAGGAGAAGCATAGTACTTGAAATCATTAGCAACAACTAAAACGAGGACAAAAGGGTGCCGAGAAACTTTTGAGTGAAAAATCCCCTTAGGAAGTGAAGCTTCAGGCTTCTAAATGGTGAGAGGAGCCCAGGCTTGGCCGGCAGCTGGGGCAGCACTGCGGGCAGGCGGGACGGGATGCTCACCCTTCAAGCTCTGGCTCTGCTGCCCCAGCGTTTTCCCCAGTGACACAAACAATCGCACGCCCCTCTCCCTTTAAATGCCTCCATTCCGCAGATCGAACCACTTTTATAGAGAAACGTGCTGCTCTTCTTTCTCTTACATCATGCTTTTACAGGAGATCCCGAGCTCCCACTTCAGCAAGCACAGGGAGAGCCTCAAATACCCCGGGACTCCAGGCAGAAACACCCGCTGGGTGCTCGCACGAGCAGCTTCGAGCCCGGCACGGCTCTGCCGAGCAGGAAGGGACGTCGTCAAGACCTCCAAGAGGCGCTGCCGGCCGGCAGAGCCCTTCCGCGGGGGAGCCCTCTCTCTCGGGGAGAGCCTGCCCCGCTCGCTCGCCGCTCAGCCCGGCCAGGAGCTCGGGGAGCAGCCCCGATCGCGCCCCCCTCCCGGCTCCCCGCGGAGCGGCACTCACCGGACAGGACGGGCTCCCGGCAGCAGCTCAGCGCCAGCCCGGAGAAGGCCAGGACGGCGGCGAGGGCGGGAGGCTCCATAGGCAGCGGCCGCCGGGCCGCGCCGCGCTCGCAGGCGGCAGCCCCGGCTCTCCGGGGGTGGCAGGCGGCCGGGAAGAGCGCAAAGTGCGGGAAGCGGAGGCCCTACAGCATGTGTCCTGTAAGTGCGCCCCGGCGAGGTGCCGAGTGGCAGATGAGGGATCCTATTACCAGCCATGTGACAGGAAAGGATAGAGACCGACATCCCAACCTGCTGCGGCGCGGGACCGCAGGGCTGCCGCTTCCACTTCTGACACCGACACGTTCGGGCTGGTGCTGTTCGCCCCGGGGCAGCGCTTTGGCCCCGCGGAGCCCTCCTCGCTAGCCGGGACGCCTCACTACAAACATACACACACAAACACACAGACTCCTCCATCCCAGCAGCGACCCAAGGCTCGCTCTCGTCACTCCCCTCGTACCCAGTGTCCCGCGGAAGAGGTCGGGCAAGAGCCCATCAGCCCCGTGGCCTGGCGCGGCCGGCCGCTGCCCCTGCCCCGCTGGGCTCCCCCTGAGGGTGTCGGAGGCGATGGGCGAGCGCAGGTGCAGCCCTGCTCTCCTCTCCTTGAAGCCGCGAAGGCACGGACGGACACGGCACAGGGAGAGAACGCTGCAAACTTTCTGAGGGACGCGGGCGGCGAGGTGCCAGCGCCGCACGCTGCGATTTGGGGCGTCGTTCTAAAAGTGGAAAGGCACCAGCCGCCCCACAGACCGGGGAGCGCTGGCAGAAAGCAGCGCGGCTGCTGAAGCCGCCGTGTCCCCCGTAGGCCGCGTCCCGAGGCGGGCGGAGCTGAGGCCGGGCGGGGGCCGCTGTCCCGGCCGCGGGTGGCAGGGACAACCGCACAGACAGAATACAGACAGCCACACAAACAGGAACACACAGCCGCACAGACAGCCACACGGACGGGAACACACAGCCACAGGAGCCCACCACGCCCAGGGACCCGGGGCATTGGCGGGCGGGCACGGGCACGGGGACGTGAGGGGGCACCCACGCCTACAGCGCAGCACGCCCAGAGCGACAAACACAAACACAGCGGCCAGCAGCTCCCGACCGAAAGTGGCATCGTTGCTTTCTGAAAATGCACGTGCACAAAGATAGGGTTTGGATTTGTGGTTTGTTTGGTTTGAGTTTTTGGTTGTTTGTTTTCATCTACCTGATGATCCCAAAGGACAAAGTGTCAGAGTGGTAATGCCAAGCAATCGTCTAAACTTTTACAAAGTCCTTACTTGGCCTGTGAGACATTTTAGTAATGGTAGAACAGCTTTGCTAAGAACCAACCACACTAAAAAACCCCCCACGCTAACAGTTAAAAAAGCATTTAAAAAGTTGCTTTGTCAGGAACAGAAATAGGGCAAACATCCTTTGTGCAAGGTACATCCTTGTACCCCCTTAACAACACTGCTGTGTAATCAAATAGCAACCCATACAGGCAGAGAACAATTTGTCATTCTGAAGGGGAACAATCAAAATACAGTTTGTAGGCCTTAACTATTGTATCAATACACAGTGTGGATGCATCTCACTTTTAGCATACAGAAACCTCCTGCCATATAAAGCTGTAAGGTTGATTTTGAGGGGGAAAATATGCTAACATTTCTTTTGGCCTTTGTGACACATATAGAAAGCAAAAAACGGTCCTCATACAGTAGCATGGCTTTACACATAAATTTTAATATCACGGCATAATATGCCGCATTCTTATTTCTTTGAGCTGAATTCATTGTGAATGTAGCATTTTTGAGTGATGAAATACTGAAAAACAATATCAGTGTTCTGTTAGCTTGGCACTGTGCTCGTTTTTTCTTTTTTGTGACAGGTTCAGAAGTATTTAGTTCTTCCTCACACATACAGTCTTCTTTCCAAGGGCTGGAACCCCATGTTGTTTCCGTTCACTCAATTTCGATTCCATTTTATCTGCCATTCTATTACTTGTGAACACTGGAGCAGAGAAGGATTAAAAATTTGTAACAGTTGCTAACAAAGTTCAGAAAATTAACCATATCTCCATTTCAATCCACCAGTATTCCTGGCAAAACCCTTTTCATTCACTATGCTGCCCTCTTTCTCCACTAGTTTCACATACAGTTCAGTGTTTATACATCAGTTGCACTTTTTTTTAACCTGTAGCACACTAGCAGTTTGTTGCCAGTGGTCATCACTAAATTATTATTTAAAAAGTCATAGCAGTTGCTATTTCTTTAAGAGGTTCATTTGTGTTTTCAGTTCAGTCAAGGCTTACCTCTCCTTTCTGCATAAATAACCCAGACGTCCCAGGACCGCAAGGCCAACTAATCCAAATACACTGCCAATAACAATTACTTGTTTGATAGCTGAAAAACAGAGACCAACCACAAAAAAACCCTGAAGACTTTGATATACATATTTTCATATCTGTTTGAATGCAATTGCATGACAATTTTTGAAACTGTACATATAGTGTTAATTTTTCTGTTCTCTTTATTTGTGGAGCTGCCTCCCTTGGCAGTGAGATTGGATTGAATGATGTCCAGAGGTCCCTTCCAACCCTTTACCCTTTCAGATTCCCTGAAACTGGTAAGGATTAGGAACTCACAGAGTTCCTACATTTAACTGTTAGGGCAGGTGGCTGCAAAAGCTTTGTAACACAAAGGGTGGCTAGTGGTTAATTTGTAGTCAACATTTTGAATGTGCAATATTGATGTGGAACTGTCAATCCCAAGAACTGAAATGGTTTTCAATCCTTATTCCATATGGTTTGATTACTTTAAATTTTGGCATTAAATTTTGAAACTACCTTTGCTGCTTAATAATCTACATAAAAGAGAAGTGACTGCTCTGATGTGGGTACACTGAACTGCATCAGAGAGTTTGAACACACTAAAACACAGAAAGTGTCAACTTGATTCTGTGACTGCCTAACAAGGACACCTGAAAGAGAGAAACAAACCAGATTATAAAACAAATTTTGAATAAAAATTATCATTTTGTTTTCTTATTCTACTAAGCAGTGGCAGATTAGATTACCATATAAGAATATTTGTAAAAGTTAGGAGATGCAGCATGTGGAATGAACTGTCTGGGAGAAACAATGATTCCTGCATTTTGTATCTGAGCCTTAATACATCAGGGCTGCATTTTTGTCAGCCCTTCCTTCCTTCCATCACTTTGTCACACCTGCCCAGCCCACAGCCTAGCACACGGTGATGGCAGAGTGACAGAACAGACACTTCTATGATCCTAGAAGAGATTATTCAGCTGCTGATTTGGTTTATAGTGAAGTTTAAGGAAAGAAATGGGGTACATAAACTGTTTCACAAGCATTGATCCATCATCCAGTAAATTCTTAACAAGGCTTAATGTTTGTCTTACACATCCCTCACAGGGAGGCACCCAGTCTCTGCCAAGTGATGAGAACTCACCACTGGCTAAAGTAGTTAGTCCAGTAGTGATTTGCCTCTGTTGTGAAATCTTTGTGTTTAGAAAAAGCATAGAAGACTAATGAGATTTCTGACAGCTTTTCAAAATGAACAGCATTTACACAGAGCCTGAGACTGGAAAAGGAAACCTAAAAGTGAATAGAGGAGGAGGGGGGGAAAGGAGAATGTAACCCAAAAGACAAACAAAACTAGATTGCCCTTGATATCACCATATTGTCTGTCTCAAAAAGACTCTATGTACATATGTTGCCACTATCTTATGATTTTTAGCTGGATATTACATCTCATTTTACTAGAATCTCCTTTTTGCTTTTGCTGGATGGCTTCTTTGTTCTTCCTCTTTGTGATATTCTGTGAAGAGAGCTTGCTGTGGTACTGGCAAGACTTGCAGTGGGATTGTAATTAGAAGCATAGCAAAATAATTATTAGCAGAGGATTTCCATGGAAACTTTAGTCCAAGGAAGCAAAACTCAAAAACAACAATATGCATGCCCAACAACATAATTTGTATTTGAAGTTTCAAAATACCGAAACGGATTTTGTAAAATAACTGGCATTACATTTTCTTGTTTCCACCTCTTCCTATCCAATTTCCCTGGTTCCCATATCTTTATTTTAAATATTCTCTTTTGAAAAGGCATATAGCAACTAAAAAAACCTTGATGATTTGCAAGACAGAGCTTGAATCTGATGTGCTGCACAACTGCAGCATCATGAGCACAGCACTGTAAAGAAATACACCTGTAGGCTTAGAATAACAGAGGGCTGGGCCCTGTGCTCCTGAGCAGCCTGAAAGAAATAACTTCAGAAAGTGTGTGTTTAATAGTTCACTTTCAAAGTAAAAAAGTGACTGCTGATCACAGTGGCTAGGTCAGTGATCATCCATTCAGGCACCCAGAAATTGGGAAGGGCTGTCCATTAATTTTGTCACCATTTTCCTGGTGTCAAGAAGGTCTTTGTCACAGGACTTGATAAAATGGATGTTGGTGAAACAGCAGCATGCTGCTGTGTAAGGAGGAAAACAATAAAGAAAACTGACCTCAGGAACAACAGATTTTGACAACACAAGGACCTTTTCTGTTCTGGAGAAGAGAAGGAGGCTTGGGGGATGGAGAATAGAGAAAATAGCCAAATAGAGAAGTAAGACAAGGAAAACTGGCACTGGATTTCAGCTGTGTCTTGGACCATGGGCAGAAGTTTCTTTAGTGAAAAACAAGTGCTGGCTGTCCATGCTTTAAAAATATGAGAAGTTTAGCTATTAGTGAAAGGAACTTTGAACTGTATTGCCTCTCTTCTCTGTAGAGACCTGGGCCTGTCAATAAAATAGCCTTCTCTGACAAACACTGACATCCAGCAGAGCTCCTTATGGAAGAAGGAGAAACAAGGCTAGCTATAAATGCCACTAGTAGGGCATAGCAGTAAGGAAAAAAGAATAGGGAAATTTGTATTTTATATTGTGTTGCTCAGTTGTTGGTGTTGTCAGCATCCTGCTGCTGTGGACAGCATTGCCATACTCCAACTTCCTGCAGCTAATAAAAACCATCAATTTTCACATTGCATATTAACTAGAACAAAAAATATCAGATACTAAGGAAGATCTTTGTTGCAATCAGATCAATAAAATTCTTTCACACCTTGTTTTACTTTGTCACCTTCCAGGAAAGCATTGGAAAACACGGTGGGTTTTGTTTGCTTATCCACAAAGCTGTGTCACATCTCCATCATTCTGAATGCAATCAGTCACTGCATATCTTCCAGCTCCTTTCCTCTGATCTCACAGGGCTGCCTTTCTGTCCCCCTTTTGCTAGTGTAAATGTCAGCATCTGTTTTGCTTATTGAGACTGACTGGCTCTTATCCAGTATGTATGTGGTTGATGGCAGCAGTGGAAAAATATTCTTAGCTTTCAGCTTGGCAGAAAGTTTTGCCATTGCCTATTTAAGATCTAGCCTTTGTGAATTTTTCTGCTGCCCAGACTCACTGCAGTTCATCTTACAAATATTACTAAGTTCAGAACTGCACTAGAAATGTACAAGCAATTGGTACAGGCAGCAGAGGCTGATGAAATGTGCCAGCATGTCAGGAATTCGTTGCTGATGTGAAGTGCACTTCCCACATTTCTTTGGAAGGGTCTTAGAATGGAGAATCTGTTAGTATGAATTATTTGATGAGTGCTTTTGGGAGCTATTAACTCAGCATTGAAAGTGCTTCAACATGCCATCTGGCCTTGCACCACCCTGGTGCTTTGAAATATTGCCATCTTGAGGACATTTGGAGTGTATGTGGTGAATGAATAAAAAGAAAATTTTGGGCCATTTTCTGTAAATCATAGAGACAGCCTATGCTACTAAAATCCAACAATCCCAGGCTAACTGATAATCTATTAGTAGTGACACAAGAGGGAGAATAAATCTGTGTTATTTATACTAAATACTATTGCATCATTCACAATACTTTTACTGCTATAGAATAATAGAATTATCTTTTGAGATAAGATAATATTTTAGAAAAAAAAAGAGTGGAAGAGTTCAACAAGTGTGGGCTGTGTCTGCTCTCCAATCACAGAATCACAGAACAGTTGAGGTGGGATGGGACCTCTGGAGGTAATTTTGTCCAACTCCCCTGTTCAAGCAGGACCACCCAGAGTGAGTTGCTCAGGACCATGACCTGACAACTTATGAATATCTCCAGGGAGGGAGATATTCAAACTTCTCTGGGCAAGCTGTGCCAGTGCTCAGTCATAACCACAGTAAAAAGGGGGTTTCTGATGTTCAGAGGGAAGCTTCTATGTTTCAGAGCATGCCTGTGGCCTCTGGTCTTGTCCCTGGGCGCTACTGAAAAAATCCTGGCTCCATCCTCTTTTCACCCACCCTTCAGGTACCTGTACCCATTGATAAAACAAAAATACCTCCACCAAAACACACAAAACCAGCATAAGTCACCTGTTATTTAGATTTGAATAATAGTCTTTCTAGTAATTCAGGCATCTCATGTCCAATGTTTTACCAAGTAAGAGAAGTTGCTTTTGTCAAGGGCCATCATGGAATACTGAGATGGCCTTGTTCTTGATAACGATTTTTTAGTGACAATATGTGATATCTAAAAGGCAACAGACCTGTTACTTGGCTGCACTGGGGTGTGTCCCCTGACCAGGCTCCTGACACTTGGCAAGTTCTTTTCTGTGACCCTCCTGTGAGTTCATAGCCCTCACTGCAGGTGAAATTGATGGTTGAGCCCAGCAGGTAGTTAGTACTATTCTTTCTTCCATTGGTTGGATGATCCAGCCAGCCACAAGAGATCACTAATAAAAGAAACATATCTGGTTAGAGTATTTAGGACTTAGACCAGAAAATCTCCATTACAAACAGCATTTTAGTGGCAACTCATGGAAAAACAAAGATTTTTAGGCTGAGAGACAATACTTCCTGCTACTTTTAAAATTTATTTTGAAGTCCAAGGAAGACAGCTTAATGCGTATAAAATGAAGATAAACTTTCTGTGCTGTGGTGTTATAGTGGAAGAAATGGAAAGAAATTTATTTTGAGTTTGCCTAAGTATTCTATCAGTACAGAGATTTCCTGGTACAAAGATGATTCCCCAAAATCAGATTATTTATAGATGCATGAACCTACAGTTAAGCAAAGCCTCCTCAAACAGTGTTAACTCTTTAGATGCCCTGTAGAAATATCTATAGTGATGCTCCCTATGGGCCTTTCACTTAAGGATTGGACTTGATGATCCCAGTGGGTCCCTTCCAACTCAGAATATCCTGTTAGTCTATAATGATGTTTTGTGGAATGTTATATCACCTGGCTCTAGGTGTTCTACCAACAGCTTGTGATTCTGATGGGAAAGTCTTGTGGAACTTCCCACTTGAAGGTTTCTTGTTGTCAGGACATCAAATCTGCAGAATGGGTCAGAGCCACAGCGTGAGACCATCTCTTCTAGCAGGGGATCAGCAGGGTCTTCATGAGGGGAGAACACGGGCAGAAAGGAGGCATTGTGCTTGTCCCCATAAAAGAAACTGTCCAGTAAGAACTCCGTGTCATAAGTAAAGAGAGAAGTTCCATTTTCAATTGCCCCTTGGGAGAGAGAGACAGAAAGAGAGATCCACATGTAACATTGCCAACATAAACCACCTTCTGCTATTAATCCAAGTGTTTATCTACAGAGATGTGGCTGGAGCTGGAAGAGATATAGGTACAAAGTGCTGAACATTCCATCATGGTTCTGTTTTCACTCCCCAGATGGGTAGAGGAGGGCATATTTCTCTTACTCCTTTTCTTCCCCCCATACTGGTTGCTTGGCACAGACTTAATTTCCTAGTCCTTAAATCATAAGCTGTCTTAAATTTGTAAAGAAAATGTAATAATAAAGCATAAAAATTACTTACAGCTAGCTCCAAACTCAAACACCTGCTGGGGACTTGCATGAACTGACATGGTGGTTTTATTCTTGAAGGTGTAGTCATCCTGTGGATTGCCATTCATTACTCCAAAGAGACCCCATGTGTGATTCATAAACTTCTCTGGGAGCAGAACTGTCAGGGTCAGAAATCCTCCATTTCCCCTTATTTCCACTCCTGACCCAGAGGAGAACATCACTGTGATGTTCTGATCAGGTGTAGAGTAGAGGAAGAGACCTATAACCATGAGAGGAAGAGGACAAAATAGCGAATTATCCATGTGAAAAAATTGTTGTGTTTTAGCATCAGTTTAAATCATCAGTTTTAGCCATTTTTCATACAGCTTTCCTCCCTTCCACTCTGAGCTGCACTCTGAGAAGCATTTAAAGGGAAGCCACACCTTCACACTACAATTGTGACAAGATGGCTACTAGAGAGTGGCAGAAAAGAGAGGTCCACTGTTGATAAAAGATGCCTCCTGCCAGTGTCTCAGGAGCTAAGATATGAGATGTCCACATCAGACATGGATGGAAGCACTGCTCTCAGTGGTCACAGTTTTCCTCTCCTTCTCCCTTGTCTTGTCAACACCTCCCTAATCTGGCTTCTTCTCCAGGCCCCCTCAATGGCCCCCTTTCATTTTGTTTTCCTCCCTGCATCTCTGCTTCTGCAGCTCCCTGGCAGTGTAGCCCTCCACCTGCTCTTCAGCCATGCGAGGAAAATGAATTGCTAGCCACAGAAATGTTCCTCTGCTGAACAGGGAGATTGCTGTTAAAATTTAAGTGATGTATCATGAGTATTTGTCAAATTATCATTAAGACTAATCAAATGATCACAGCCCTGTTGGACAGAAAGTCAACTTTTGATAGTCTTTTTGGCAGAAGAATAGAGGAATAATATCTGACCAATTGAGAGAGCTCCCAATAGGTAAATATGAAATTGAGTTATATTTTAGTATATATTTTAGTTACATTTCACTATATTCCGTTTTATTTGGTTGGCTTCATTGTATTAGATGCAGTAAGTTCAAAGCAGAATGCAGAGGACAGAGTTTTTAATTCCATTCACTGTCCACAGGATGAGGAGGAAAACCACTGCTCTACAAACAAGTGAAAGAGGACATGGAAACCATGGACACTGAAGCCACCTGTTAGAACACTTGACAAAAGGATGCTGAAAAAAGAGTTGAAATGCATACACCTAGAGACACCTTTAACTATCAATGGGCTCCATCAGAATGGAATTGCTTGCAAGGCTGATATGTGTAACTAACCTTTCAAGTCCATCCAAGTTTGTTCAGAGAAGCTGAGAACCCTCTGGTTCAGGAGGACCTCCAGATGCAAATCCTCAGAGTAGCGCACTTCAATCACATCAGAGTTGTTCTCCTGCATGGCCACTGCACACAAGCCTGTGCCCCGAGCCCCAGTTCCTTCCAAATGAAAAAAAACCAACAATGCTATCAAAATGCATCAGCTGGCATTGACTGATTTCTAGAACTGGCCTTCTGTTTCCTTATTGATGAGAATGGGCATGGAGAGAAATAAGAATTTTTTTGCAGCTCTTAAACACAGTAGAAAACTTTACACTTCCATTACTCACACCCAATAAAAAAACCTAGCAATTAAACTTTGATTGGGAAGCTTTTCCTGAAGATGTTGTCTGCTTTCTGATTATCTTCAGAATGGAGATTGCTCACAAATGGCCAAAAAAAGAAGACTAGAGATGACAGGAGGATTGCTGCTAAGTGCAAATCAAGCAAATATCAAATCTCAGTTCTGCAAATCTCAGAAGTTCTGCGATTTGCAGAGCTCTGCTTCCTCTCTTACCAACTCACCATTGGAAAAGTGTGCCTGCTGTGTCCTCCCTTGCACTCTCAAGGATGTGAGATTAGACTCTACCAATGTGTATTCTCCTAGGCCATTGAAGGTGAAATTCAGACCATCAAATGTAAAGAAATGAGGATCTCCAAAAGCAGATGCTATTTTTAAAAACAAAAAGAGAATTAAGATCAAGCAAAAATCACAACCTGTTACTCCTCAAGTTCATGAGAAAGGAAAGAGAAGTCTCTGTCACATGCAATATATGGGGAGATTTGGACATGAATACAGAGCTATTGCTTTATCTCTGCATCCATATCCTTTGCACCCTTATCCCCTTTTGCATTTCCAACTTCCATGTAAATTTCTCCAAGTTCCCAATTATTTATCTTCTTTTGTATGCTTTAATCTGTATTGTAACTAATACAATGCACCTTGCCATCAAATTGTAAAGTTGTATTTTCACAAATTCAAACTCTGCTTCTGCCAATACTTTTGATGGGGCTTCTTTAAGCAGCCAGACCACTCATTCATGACCCCTAACTACCTAATACTATGCCCTCTACAGTTTTCTCCTTTTTTCCTGATGCAAACTGCTGCCTCTTTGCACTTCTTTATGGGAGGCCAAGTCCTGCTGGACACCTCAGCATCTCAGAAGCATAGAAGGCAAAATGTGGTGGCAACAGAGGTATGGCAAGACTTTGAAGACTGAGTTGAAAGCAAGTGGGAGAAAACCAGACACATTGTAAATTGTAAAACTTTCTTATTTGATATGAATATTTCTCATCATGACAGCTTTTCTAGCTGCTTCCTACCTGTCATTGACCATCTCTAAACACCTTTTTTTCTGAAGAAGTCCACACTGATGATATAAAGTCGTGAGCATTGACTATTATGCTTTGGCTATTTAGGTTCCAGGGATGAGTGAGATGCTAAACAGCAGAAAATCTTGCAGCACAATTATAAAACACATACAGATTTTGTAAGTGATAGATCAAGATAAACCTTCCATGGAACTTTTCCACAGGACATTGTACCCTCACCATTGTCAACTCGTATATGTATGCACATATAGAAATATTCTAAAAGCCAACACTGTATGAAAAATCAACACTCCATAAGGAAATTCTGGAGCCCTTACCAGCTCGGGGCGGGCGGTACGTCCTGCAGTCACTAGAGGGCCGCCTTTTCATATAGAAGTCACAATTGTCAGACCACAGGCAGCAGTAATAGAAGCTGATAACATCATAAAGCCAATGGGAAAAGCCAGGTATCCGGGGAGGCTTCAAGAAAGGTGGTGAACCCCAGTCATGTCCTCGATCAGGTGTGCTGCCTCCGGTGGAGTCACGTGTGAGGATTTGGGTTCCCGTGGAGTCATAGCAGCACTGCTGTCCAGCCCCATACTGGGGACTGATTGAGAAAAGCAGCAAGAAAATCATCATTTAGCTCTGCGGGGTCCGTTTCTATTTAGGGGTTGCTTAGTGACTTTTTATGGATACAGCTAAATATTTTGTTTGCCAAGCTTTATCTGATGTCCAGTTAGATTTCACCCCTGACTTCTGTGATCCTGCTGTCTCTGAGGTGAAAGGATTACTCAAAAAATTGCAGTTTAAAAAATGTTCTTTACCTGGCTTGAATGGCTCTTACACAATGCACAGCACCAGGATGATAAGTACACACGCTCCCCTTTTCAATGTCACAGCCATAATCTGTCTGAAAAAGATCAATGTTCACACTTAATGGGGTTCTTGCCTCGTTGTCCTTTCTGTTCTTACATTCTATTCCCACCTTTTGTATCTGACATGTGTGTAAAGTTGACATGAACTGGTTACGGTTGTGTTGAACAGCATGGAATGATAGGAAAAATGGTGAATTTAATACTCAAGTGTCTGGAGCACATGTCTGACCTGAACATTTTGCAGTCTGTTACAACAGACCTTGAAGAACAAAGGCAGCCAGATGGGGATTCAACTGTAAGTGTACAACAAACACAGACACAGAGTAAATGTTTATCCTGTGTTCTTAGATAGAGGCAGTGGATCTATTCTTTATCTTCACAAGCTTTTACACATCATGTTTGGAGCTTCATAACCAGACTAGTAACAATTTTTATCTAAACTTTTTTTTTTTAAAATGCGTAAACACATGCCACCATTTTGGTATCATAAATAGGAGAGGAAGTCACTCTCATCTGGTCCTCAGATCAGCAGTGTAAGTGAAAGTGTAGACTGAATGGCAATTGATTTCTTAGCTTTTGTCAGTTCCTTGATAGCAGTGAAGCGAAGGAGGAAGGAGGCAGTTTAAAGGAAATAATGGATTACAGCTCTGGGATTGAGCTCTGATGTACATGGCAGAAGGGTTTGCAGCAAAGTATGAAAAACTAGGCAGAAATAGTTTGCCACAGCACGGGATATCACCTTCAAACACAGACTGTCCTCTTGTAGGATCTTGAAGAAGCCATACCTGCTCCCAGCTCCACAGAGTGTTTTCAGTTTGCCATTGGAACTACTGCTTTAATTCCCTGTTTGAATGTCATTTCCATCTCCTATTCTAAAGGCACTTGAATTCATACTGCCTAGATAAGCAGTATTTACCTCTGCCATTTGGTATGCTACTTGGGCAAATCTAAATGTAACCTAATTTCCTTGTAATGATGTTTAGAGAAGGGAACAGGGGTGTGTGTGGAGTTTGGCACTACTTAAGCTTCCACCTGGAATTGTAATAAGCCAGAGGGATCAGTTAATAACTTACATGGAACCTGCCAGTGTCAGCTCTTGCCTGTGCCAAGGTGCAAGGGCAGTCTATAATTTCTTCCATGAAGTTTGGAAGCAATTCTTCCTTTCTGTCCCATTCCATACATTTTGCAGTTGCCCATGCATTTGGGTCATTTCTGAAGTCTTTCTCAAGGTGCCAAGCCAATGCATGGTCTGGGCTCCAGATTGATGGAATATTGCTGGTAAAAAAAAAAAGAAAAAAAAGAGAAACAAAAAATAGATCTGATAGCTGAACAAGCACTACTTGGACAGTAGCACTGTGGCTCAATTGCTAATTATAATTAAAAAGCATCTTTTGACTTCCAAGTTATTTCATTGCAAAGCCCACTGCTTTCTTTTTCCTTCAAAAAGTTATGGCACATCAAAATTTTCCAAATTCAGGAGGTGGCAGGACAGCATGCAGCAAGTATGCAATAATCAGAATACATTTTAGTAATCATAATTCTGGCTTACATAGATCCTTTTAGAGGAAGGTTTTGTATTCATGCCTTTTGACATTGCAATTTCATTTAGGCCAGAATGAAGAATATCTGGATTCTTTACAAAACATAACAACTGCACCCCAGTAACATCAGGACTAATGGCTACAGAAACAATTTAGAATCCTTGAAATGTTCCAAAGCCACTCTGCTTTTCCCCCATGAAAAAAAAATATCTTACACAAAGTGTAATAAAAAGCCCTCTAGAATGGGAAAAGGTTATCCTTCTATGTTCAAAAAGGTTCTGACATATTAGCAATATGTTGTAACACTGAAGAGGTGGCATTTATATACTCACAGTCTACACCATCTACATCACACCTGCAGATATGGAAGAATTATGAAAGAATATCCATGGAGCACTTACACAGGTAGTTCACCAAAAATCATGGGGAAATATGCAATGAAATAAAAGAAAATGGCTATAAAATTTGAAGGAATGCAAAAACCTGCACACAAAATAGAAGAGGAAGGCCTGTGGCTGCAGTGATTGAGTTCCACAATTAGGGACTCCTCCACAGTTGTGACAAAACAAAAGAATCAGCAGATCCTACTCTGCTGAGAGCATGGGTTTGGCTGGAGTAATTTTCTTCATAGCAGCCACATTTTACATCTGTGACCAAGACAGTGCTGATAACACACCAGTGTTTATCTCCTGCAGGCACAGTGTCAAGGTCTTCTCTGTGTCTCGTGCTGGCCCCAGGGAAAAGGCCAGGAGGGAGCACAGCTGTGACAGCCAACCCAAACTGACCAAAGGGATATTCCATGCCCTAGACCAGCATGCCCATCCATAAAACTGCAGGGGTGTTTTTCCAAAGCAGCCCTTACTGGATGACTGCCTGTGCATCAGTCTGCTCATGGGAGACTTCATGATTCTTCCTCCATGCTCCTCTTTACTTAGTAAACTGTCTTTATGTTGACCTATGAGTTTTTCTCACTTTTGACCTTCCAGTTTTCTCCCCATTTTTTTTCCCCAGGAAATGGAGCCTGAGTCTCAGTTTTGAATGCCAAAGGAGACAACAGCTTATAAGGTAGCTATTATTATTATTATTATTATTATTATTATTCTTATTATTATTATTATTATTATTATTATTATTATTATTACTATTATTATTCACTTGCCTCTGCCCATCAAAATAGTTGCTGGGTATAATTCTCAAAATTCCATAGTCCCATGTACTGTAATTTCCCTCAGCAGGCACAGGAATGAAAGAGTACTTCCCTGTGTTGGGGGTTTCTCTTGCCAAAGTATAAAGGTATTTCCATTCAGCCATCCAGTTTTCGGAATAACTGTCACCTGTCAGATAGAGGAGGAGAAGGGTTTTGGATGCTGGAAAAGAGCAATAGCCACAAGATTGAAATTAGATGTTTCCTCCCATATGTAAATGAAGAGGAAAAGCTGACATTATTGTAATCAGTTATTTATACTTGCAGGTCTCAGTGAAAGTGATCACAAGCTGTGCAGAGCTCTGCACAAGAGTTATGTGCGTGATAAATGCTTGTAGGAAAAGGGTCACTTTACCTGTTTCCTGGTATCCCCAGACTTCTATGTTGACGTGGGTTGCTGCAAGTGTCTGGTGTGTCCAGGTAAGAGTTAAGTTTCCAGCAGTGTTGGGGGTGCCATAGTATTGCCATTTTGTCTCATTTACCAAAGTGCATTTTTCTCCATCTGAAACTTTGCTGTGATGTACTGTATTGCAGAGCAGAAAAGGAGGGCTAATGACATTTTGGTTTGGCGTAGTTCTGAAAAAGTGCTACTCTATTATTTAAGGTTTAGCAGGATTTCCCCTGGGTATGTTTTACACAGCACAGGATGCATGACATGAAAATAATAAGCTGAAGCTGAGAATGCAACCCTTACTAATACTTGCAGTCCTTAGATTACAACACCACAATGCAATTATTTGAAGAGGGGGCAAAAAGGGGTAGAAGTAGGGAAGAAATGGGAACAGTTTTGGTCAACCTCATTTTTAAGCAGGACTTTTTATCAGTTAATGCTGCTGCTGCTACTCAATTGCTGTGAAAGTTCATCTCTCAAAAGTTGAATTAACATGAAGCCAGTGAGACTTTCTTTTCTGAGGCCTGTTAAGGAAGAATAAAAGTGATCAAAAAGAAAAGACTTCTATAATCTTGCATGCATGGAGGAAAAACATAGCAAGAAGAGGGATGCTGTAGATATAAGTAACCTGATAACCAAGTTCCAGAGTAGGGAAACGTTGATCCAGCATCTATAGAAACTTCAAAAGGGATGAAACCAGTCTCATAAAGCAATGGGGAGATGCAGTGGGCTTTTCCATCCTTGTCAATATAGCCACTGGTTGTGATTTGCTGCTTGAACCTGTAGATGTTGAAAATACTTTTTAGTGTCACCATAGATAGAAGGAAAATTCTGAATATTCTTCAACAATCAGCCTTGTGTCATATGTGGATCATTTCAAGTCTGGGGCTGTTTTGCTTGTAGCAGGGAATATAAACTGGAAAAATCTGCCATTACATCAATGTGAATTCTGCTGTGAATTGCACAAATATACAGCAATCCACAAACCTTCAATTTACTATTTAATTTCTGGGGGAGAGAGATATGATAAATTAACAACAAAGGGGCAACAGGAAGAGGAAAATAACGTTATAGCATTAGTAAGATTACAGGGTGGCTAACAATGACCGTGATGCAGTTATTGCAAATTTCTGATTTGTTGATTTGGGTTTTTTTCCCCCTGGTAAGTCCTGTGAGGGCAACGAAAGGAATTTCATGCTGTTGTAGAATTTCTGTTGCAAAGGTTAACTCAGAAGGCACTGCTTGTTATTTAACCATTTGAATCCAGTTAGGGCTCTTGCCCAGAGTCCTGGGGATTAACCCCACCTGTGACTATTCAAAATTGATACATGGGGACTGAATATCTATTCCAAGTATCACAGGGAGCTGGGGCCTGCCAGGAAATAGGACCTTTGCTTTTCTGCACTGGAATTTGCCTTGGCTATAATTATGTAACTCTCTGCTTCGAAGTACACAGTTATGTTCTACAGAATGAATGCCTTGGTCAAAGGTTTTCCAAATAAAGAATTGAAAACCTTTTCAGGTACTGCTACCCAGATGGGAAGGACTCCAAAATCTCACTCAGAACCTTCTGTGGAAATAATAGCACAACATCTGGGTCATCAAAATTCAGTGTACTGTGTGTGTTGCACGTGCCAGTGCACCTAAGTGTGATACACATTTGGGATCCACAGCTTTCTCTTACAGGAAAAACATCAGGTGTCCTACCTACATTTCTGTCTTGCTGTTTTCTCGTTCAGATTAAGAAATAAATACTTCTTTTCCACAAAGGGAAACGCTAGAAAAATATTGACAATCAAGCGCCCTGAAGGGAAACTCTTTTCAAAAAGTCACTGTTATAATATGTTAAGGGAGCAATGAGCAGGGTTATGATTGTACCACACAATAACTCCACCTAAAAGAAACAATCCTGTGTGGAAACACAGTCAACAGGTATCCTTGAGGGTGAGATTGAGCAGAACTTTTGCACATTTCAGGATTCTAACAACTTTACAACGTTTTCACTCCTGTATGGACTGGTGGTAATTGCCTATTGCTGGAGAGTGAGATTTCAAAGTTTTGCCTCCCTTTGGCAGAGGAATATAAAATCATGGCCCACCTGCATTTTAGCTTAGAAGAGAGATCAAAAGCTGTGTTGTTAATCAAAAAGTCTTTGCCTCCCATAAGAGATCCTGAGTATGGAGAAATTTGAAGACAAAATTCTTTATAATCAGGACAGCATGTCCCCAAGGACTGGCATGTCACCTGGCAAGAACAGGTACCAAGCAGCTCCCCACATCTCTGTGCACAAGAGTCTTCAGCTCCTTGTTAAAGGAAGAAAAAAAGAGTCAGGAATGTTATTGAACTCTTCTAGATGTTCTCTGAAGCACAAGTACATCATCCAAAGGACTGCTGTAAGTAAATAAAATAGGCTGGTTACGTTAGTTTAGGAATGTATTTAGGTGAAGGTTATAATCACCTGCATATTAAGGTTGCTCCATTTTGAATAGCAAAATACACTTATTTACCTCCCAGATAGTACATAATTTCATTAATTCCAGAGGTATTTTTACATGTAATAGACAGATAAATCTCCAGAGCAGCCCCTCAGTGAGTGTCACCAATTACATTTATTTTTGAGGATAAGTCTTAAATGTACCAGAACCCCGCCATCAACCTTACATGGGAATCAGTAAGAACAGAAAGCCAGTGCTCTTGTAAAGTTCACATCAGCAACAAAAATGGGCTCCAACACAAGTTTATTAAGAACTACTGAAATGTCTTTGTTTTGTGCATTTCATTTGAGTCTGGCCTTAACAAGGCAGGTGTTAGCAGCTCTGGGTACACAGACAGGTGAGGAGGCTCTTGGCTTACAGACTGTCAGTAATTACTGGATGTCACATGGGAAACTACTCAACAAATAAAACAGTGAGAAGGAGACAGACATTACAGTAGCACTGTCAAAAATTACTGGATTTCACAAACAATTAAGGGGGAGTTAATTGAGATGAACAAGCTGCAGAGACAGCTGGGAGCACAGAGGACCTTTTGGGAAGTGGAATCTTGCAAAGATAACACTGCTTGGGAACTATGTCAAGAATACCATGCAATGCTGAGATGATCTAGGTAAGTATCAGAAATTCTAAACTTGGACATGGATCTTGCAAAATTGGAGCCAATTATGAAAAAGTAACTAAGGAAGGATTGATTATTTGGGAGGACACAAGCAAAAAGAAAGGCAGGGATCAAGGTGGGTGGTGAAGAAAAAAAGCACAGGAAAATGCAAAGAAGGGAAGTAAAAACACTTGTTCAATATGGGAAGCTGGAAAGTTTTTCTATGTCTTTAAATATATTTACTGCATTCTCCAGATTGTCTGTTTACTTACAGAAGAATCCACTGACCTGCTGGAAATTACAGAGGAAGGGATTGAAAATGAAACCATGCAGGTAAAATCTGGCCCGTGTGCCTTTGCTTTAGCTTGTATAGATGGTATCAACAATTTCTTGCCAAAGTGTGCATTCTGAAGTAGAGAAGTCAAAAAAGTTTGCAGTTAAAAGCAGCAAAATGTTTGAAAATCACTTACCTGCATTCCAAAGAGCAGTGAGGGTGGAAAGAATGAAGAAATAAACATCTAAGCCAATGAATTTCATATTTTGTCCAGATGATTCAGGATGGCTGATTGTGGCAGTCTTCGTGCTAGTCTGGGAGAAGCCTTCAATGGAAACGAGTGTCCAGAAATAAACAAGATTCTCTCTGTTCAAAGGTTTGTTGTAAATTACTGAAGCAAAACAAACTGAATGAAATGCTCCATTTCAGAGGTCATGTCCAATCCAGGAAAAGATTGAAGGGGAGATAGTCACTGCAACTCCTTCACATTAACAGTCAAGTTTTTCTGAAAGGGGGGTAGATGTTTATTGCTTTACAAGCATTTCTGCTTCAAAGCTCAAGGCCATGGGGTCATTGGCAAAAGTTCTATGGTTTAATTTTGCTGGAGGAACTGAAATCTGTTATCACTTAGAAGAATGATAAAGAATACCTGCTGACAGCACAGTTTAGTTCAGAAGATAATGAGATAGAGGAAGCATGCTCACTGCACTGGATGTGACAGCATGAGGGCTGATTTAAGTGAAGGCAGACCCCTCCTTTTGCCTCTTTTTAAGGGGTTAAATTGAAGGAAACTCACCCTTTTTCATCATTTTAAGGGCTTAAATCAGAGGGTTCCCCTCCATTTCAGAGCACTTCTGCCTGTTTCCCAGCACCACGTCTCTCGTGTGGGAGCAGTCCTTGGATATATGCAATTTTGGAGGTGGAATTGAAATTCCAGCAATGGGATCCAGGCAGAGAATGACAGCAATGACAGCTCCTTTCCATAGGAAGGAATGCACGTAGCCCCAGTGTCTCAGGTGCAGGTGACAGGCTGTCCTGGGGAGGTGAAGGTCCCCAAGTCCTCGCTGTTCTGGCAGCTTTTGTCTGGGAGCAATCCTCGGATATATTGAATTTTGTGGGTGGAATCCGAGCGGCGGGCACATGAGCAGAGGCTGAAATGACTCGCTGGTGGCACCTGGTGACTCACAGCGCTACTGCAAAGCAGAAATGAGCCCTGGTGCAGCTCTTGAAAGGGATATTCGTGCTCAGTAACTGCAAACCATCCACATGCACAGGAACAAGAAACTGCAGGCTGGAGCTAGGCTCTGAAATCAAGGGAGCTGAAAGTGTTTCTTTGGATAAACCCGTATGGAGAAATTCCCTTTTTGTCTCATCAGTCTGGGTCTGTAGGACTGAATCTTTGCAATCAAGAGACAACAGAGTTGTTAGTAACACTTATCTCAAATCTCTCAAGTGTTGTTATCTCTCAGAGAACTGGGCCAGCACTGAGCTACTCCCATGTGCCTGGAGAGCTTTGAGGAAGGGCAAGATGATGTCCCACTTCTGTCTGGGAAAAATGGCAAGAAAATGAAAAGTAGTTTCCTTTCTCTCTCTCTGAGCCATAACTGAACCAGTTCTGTAGGACAACATGGACATCACTGCTCCCCCCCAGTTTGGGTGAAATATTCATGTAGTTCATAAATATTCCCTTTCCCTGCTGCTTCGCTGCTCCTCAGTCCTTCACTGCACAGAGAGCACATTTACTCAGATTTACTTTACAGACTTACAGATTTACTTTGTTCCCAACATTACCTTTCCATCCCGAATCCCAGTTCTCACAGGCACAAACTGAACAGACCTAAGGCATTGGTCTATTATTGCCTGGGATTCCCAGCTCCATGTTCCCTGGATTGCTCAAACACTCACAGCAGTCTCACCTCAGCCCAGAGACTGTGCTCAGACTAAGCCCATCACCAGTGGTGGTGGCTCAGATCAGAAAGATGGAGCAGCAGCAATGGTAGGATGGCCTTGGCATGGCTTTCCTGGAGCTCCAGGCTCTTAGAGTCTCTCAAGCCTAAGCCTAGCCCCAACCCTCATAAAAAAAGAATGCCTTGTGTAGGCTGTTGAGTCCTCTGCTGGAAGAGAGGGAGCAGCTCATCAGGAATGCATTTCCTTCATCTCTCTTGGCTCTGGAACACCTTCATTATCATGCACACCCAGGATAAACAGGTGAGATTAGAAACCCTCTAAGCAAAATCCGTGCTCGGGCGAGTAAAGCTTTGCAGGACCCATGCTAATCCTGCTCTACAAAGCACATTCCAAACATTTGGCACCTCCTGCATTTATAGGAATGAAGGAAATCATGTCCCTACTGGCCTTCACCTCCTTCAGGGGTATAGATGGGTCCTACCTCTCAAAGCTCTTGGCCCAGTGAGCCTGCCAGGGAAGCAAGCTCATGGCTGCCCTTGGAAGCTGTCTCTAAATAGTTTCATTCTGGCAGGAGGATGGAGTGGAGCCTGGCTGTTATTGCTACCCCCTGGGTCACACAAGGTAGCAGTGACGTGATGGAAGAACTTGGGCTCTGTCACAGCAACTCATCTGTCACTGCCCTGCTGAGATGTGCAGCAGAGCTGGTGTCACTGCCTGGTGCCGCGGGGACGGTCCCGGTGCTGCTCCAGTGCCCACAGCAGGAGCTGTTTCTCGTTAGGAAACTGAAATGCTTTTCAACATGCTGCCAAAGGCCATCTGTCTGTTTATTTGCTGCTGTCCACTCTGCTGGGAGCTGGTGCAGAGCTTTGTGCTTTGCCCTGTCCTACCAGAGCCTTTGGCATGGGCAGGATGAGGTGGCTGCAGCTGGGTGAGCTGGCACCTCTGCAGGTCCTGGGCAAAGCCATTCAGGTAATGCCTCTCCTCCCATGGGTGTCTGAAGACTGGTACAGGCTGACTTGGGAAGTGCCTGCCAAGGGATTGCTGATTCTTCAGCAATTCCTGTTTTCTTTGGTCCCTACAGGAGGCTGCCCAGAGAAAGGGGCTTGACCAACACCTGCAGGGGCTGCTTTCCCAGCTCTGAAAAGCATCCTTGCTGCTCTGCTCCCAAAGCATGGGAAGGGCTCTAATGCTGTCCTGAGCCTTGCAAATCAATTGCTGAATTTTACTTCCCCTCCGCTCCCCACTTTCCTGTGTGTGTCTCTGAGGGTGAACAAGCAGGGAGCTGCCAGCAGGCTGCACTGCCAGGCAGGGCTGAGTGCTCCTGCCCACATTATCTCAGCTTTGTTTGGGCTGGGCCAGGCAGGTGTGCCCAGGGGAGCTCCAGGGCTGCACCCCAGTGGAAGATTGCAGAGGGAAAGTGCTGCATTGTTCTCTGCCTGCAGTCACCTTGCCTGAACCCAGCTCTGAAGCATGCTGGCACAGAGGGATGTGAAGAGCTATGGTAAATGTTAAGGAATAATTCTAACATGGATCAGGAATACCCAACATAGCACTGAACTTCTGAAGACTGATATTTTGGGTGTTCCCAGCACTGCAGCAGAACAGTTTGTGTAGCTGCTGTGTCTGGTTGAGCCCATTGCTATGCACAGAGCAGCAAAGAGAGTGTTGCTATTGGACTTTTTGCTTCACTTCTTACTTCTTGAAGCCATGATTGCAGAGCAGATTCCAATTTTTTTAATGTCAGAAGAAAGGCCTGATGCAATAGTTAGTATTGTTTAGTATTTGGCAAACCATGCTGGATTAGGGCAGGGTGAACAGTAGAGAAATATTAGAAGTTAATTCTAATCTTGTTTTTTATATGGATTACAAGTTATGTCACTAGGGACTCATATTCCAAACTGGAGACAAGCAGCCCCTTGTGATTGCTGGTGAAATCAGCACCAGGAGTGAAAATGGAGCAGCAGCCAGCTGGGGAGACACTGCCTTCCCAGAGCTCCTCAGCTCAGTCCTGGAGCAAATACAGGTCCCTGGTCACAAACTTCTCTGGTGGGTGTTTGACTCAAGGCCTGTCTTCTGAATCCTTTCCTCAGTGCTCCCAAGCTTCCCTGCTTGGGCCATGAGCCAAGGAATCAGGGATATCAACCAACAGACCGTTTGTTTTTCCAGGGCTGTGTAAATTGTGCTGTTGTTATCAGTGAAACCAGGTCTGCTCATGGCCTCCTGCTCTGCGGGCGGTGGAGGGCTCTGATCTCCTGCTCCTGGGCTTTCTGAGGGTGGGGCAACACCTTGCACGAGTTTCCAGAGCACCAAACATGAGGTGAGCACTCTGAAACTGCTTCCAAAGACAAGCTGGTCCCACCACAGCTGTGTATTTGACTCGCAGCAGATGTGAGAGTGGTGGGACATCATACCTGTGTGGTTGTGCAGCCAGAATTGCTGAGCTTTCCAGTGGTCCTGCCCTTGCTCTGAGATAAGGACAGGAAAATGCTGTTGTTTTGAAGGTGCTGTTTATCTGATTAAAGGTTTGATCTGGTCAAGTGGGATGTAACAAGGCTGGAGCAGTTTTGAAGAAGGTCCAGATCTGGATTTTTGCCCAGAGCAAAAGATTGGTGTTTGGTTTCTTTTGGTGTTTGGTTCAGTTCTGCTCACAGCCCCACAGACAGAGGATTTACCCGTGGGAGATTCTTCTCTGTGCTGTTCTTCATAATCAAGAGCCACCCTTGATGCACACCCTGATAAGGCTGCAGGAATCCACTCATCCTGCTGTGATAAAACTCCCTGTGCTGGTCCTCCAGCCCTGCACACCTGGGCACAGCCCTGGAGCAGCCTCTGCCTCTCTCGTGTGCTGGTTTGGCTCATGCCCAGCTCTGTCTCTCTTTTGCTTCTCCCATCTCACAAAACCAAAGGCAATCGTGTGTGTGTGCTTCTAGAGCCCTGCCAGGAACAAAGAGAAGTCCAAATATTTGTGTTGGGCTGTTACTCTTTCCATTCAGGCAATAAATGACAGACTGCAGCAGAGTCTTTGTGTGCTGTGTGGGATTTCCACTGTACTGGCTCCAGCTTCACAGCCTCACCAAGATGAAACACCTACAATTAACAGTTGGGTTTTAACTGGAGGGAAAATGACTGAGTGTGATTGAAATATGGCCTTAAAAAAAAACCCCACCAAAACCCAAAACAAAAACCCACAAACAAACCAACCACAAAAAACCCCAAAACAAAACAAAACAAAACAACAAAAAACTGACAAAAATCACCAGACCTTTCCTGTGTCAGATGAGAAGTGCCTGGTCTCTGTGTGCCTGCAGAACAGAATTTTCACTCTGAGGTCTGGGAGCTCTGTTGTTGATTTCTGTCCCAGAGCCTGGGACACAAGC